AGAGAGGCTGAGAGATGCTTTCTGGCTACTGGTATGATAGTATAGCAGTAGATTCCTGCACTGGATGAATGCTGGATGAGATTTCCAGGAATTCTTCTCTAGGAAAATATGATTCTATTATTCTAATGAGTAGTTTGGAGGGCCAGGACATAAAAATAGTTGAAGAAACAAATAGATCTATGTTTGAGATAATACAAATCTTAACTGCAATCAAAATATCTGTGCTCTTATTGGGATAAGTTAATAATTGAACAAAGAAATGATAAAAAAAATTATTTGCTCCAACTTGAATTACCTAAATTCATTTTGTCTATATAGATCTTATTGAAAATTTCAATTACAATTAAAAACTAATACAAACTATTTATAGTGAAATAACTGAGAAGAAAATTACAAGGAAAGAAAATGTAACAAAAAGAAAGAAAAACAAAGGGAAAAGGTGAAATAAAAAGAAAAGAAATGTATAGAGAATTTACTTCCAATCTTCAACCTAAATATAAATACATTTGGTAGCTCTTCATTTTCTGTGAGGGTTGCAAACAGATATATCTTCTTTTCATAGCATTATCTACAAGCAAATCTATATGATGTCAACTTTTTACAGAAAGTTAGAACATTTATAAAAAAAAAATCAAGGTCCAGACAAATTTGGAGTATTGAAAATAACAGTATCAGTTTTCAAAGCCAGTTTTGTGTAGTGGTTAAGGTATCTGGTTAGAAACTGGAAAACTGTGTTCTACTCCAGCTTTATGCATGAAAGCACCTGGGTGACTTTGGGACAGTCACTTTTTTTCTCAGCCATAGAAAGGAGACAATGGCATAAGTCACTTCTGACATATATGTCTCCCCAGGAAGCTTTTTTTTTTTTAGAAAAGAAATGGTGGTGAGGCCAGACTGGTGGATTTTTGGTCAAATAATATCTTTCAATTATGGAGATCCTATTCTCAACTCTAAAGATGAGATGGAATCAGAAGATGTGTTTTCCATTGGTTTACATTTTTACAATTGAAAGAAAGATTTAAACTAGACAAAAAGCACTATCGATTTCATTTTGTGAAAAATTATTGGAAATACTACTGTGTGATAGAGATGAACATATTAATGCTAAATTGTTATTGAAATTGAACTTGGAGAAAGTATGTAATACATTAAATGGTTCAGTGGGTAAAGAACTTTGGATATAATATAATGCTTGAATGAGAGGAAAGTATGTGGGCCAAAGATCTAAAATTCACATTAAATTATAATTTAAAAGAAAAAAATTATAAGATGATGTACTGTTGGTATCTAACACCAGACAAGTTGTTAAAAATTGGAACTTTGATGTTATATATGTTAACAGCAGCAAGAATACTTTATGCACAAAAATGGAAGGATACTTTGATTCCCACAATGGACAAATGGATGCAAAATTTGATGGAGCTGGCTAAATTTGATGGAGAGATGGCTAAAGTGACTGCTTTGATGAAAGAAAAGAACACAATTAATTTTGAAACCAATTTTGGTTTTTGGACTTTGTGCAGCAAAAGCAGTTGGAAGTCAATGCTTTCCTTTTTATTTTCCCCTTTACACCATACTTTTCTCTCTTCCCCTTTTTCTCCCTTATTTTCCCATTATCTTTATTTTTTCTTTGTATTTCATATTTTATATTTTGATAGACTAACAAAAATATTTGAACTGATAAGCTATTTCTGACATCACACATACATACATGCATATACACATACATACACACTAAACAGCTTTTCATCAGAATATCCTCAAATTAATTTTCTAAGCAAACTTTTAATAAAAAAAGATGTCATATATTGTTTTTAATCTTACTCTAACCAAATTCTGGGGCAGCATTTCTTTTTTGAAAGATGTTTTTAAAATGTCAGAAGAAATATTAATTTATTTGCAGAAGGTGGCTTCCTTGAGAGTTTATGGCATTTCCATAAACTTGAAGAGCAATATTTTATTTTATAGCTATGACATTCTACTCACTCTCTTTTTTACAAATACTTCAATATTCATAAGTTCATAATCTATGACTTCAGTCTGTATTGAAGAATTACTTCTACCTGTATTTACAATCCAAAAGGCACATCAGAAAAACTGATTCACAGTTACAAATACATTTTGATATTTTACGTCATTATTATTACTATATATAGGCCAAAATGGCAAATGCAAACTATTTTTCTACAACATCACTAATAGGTGGTATTTGTCATATAAATATGTATGAAGGACATGCATGAGATGCATGGATTCTGGAATGAAATATCTCTCTTTGTCTCTTACACTATCTCTATCTCTAATTTCTGCTTTGATTTACAACCAAGACTTTCTGATGAACACAGTATTTAATGATACTACCTTTAATGTTAACATAGCATAAGCAACTATCTATGATATCTTATCTATGATATGACTCCTGGAATTTACTAAATGTTCCATAATATCTACCATGGGTATGTTTAATATAATTAATTGCATAATTAATGTGTGCTTTCATATACTGCTTTGCATATAAGCAATATGCAATCCACTATTAGTTTAAAGCTTAACTGAAATACTATTCATAGTCTCTGTAAGCAGTACTTTTTTGCAAACAAATGAGAAAAAAAAATACCTAGGTTCTTCTGCCTGAATTCTTTGGCTCATTTGATCAACAGTGGTTAATACTTTGTATATTTCTTTAACTGTAAAAACGCTTCATTGATTTTAGAAATTAAAATCATTGGAAACCTGTTGGACCTATGTGCAAGTACAAGAGTTTTCTGGATAGTTTTCTTCACATATACTGATTACTACATGCATTTTAGCTGAACTGTTTATGAATGGTTTATTTAATAGGCATACCAGGTTTGAAGTGTATCCAAGGTTTCCCTGTAGTATGTGATCTGTAATTTTACCCTTTACTTAGAGTTGTATCATTATTACAGGAAGAATAGTTATAACTCAGTCTAAAGCAAACAGTACTTATAATTCTATCTATGGGTCTTTCAGGAACACTGCTGTATTTATTTAGTGAAGACGGATGCATATTTTAAAACTATAGATGTCAGGGTAGGAAGTGGGAAGCAAATAGCAAAGAATGCATGCAACATTGTGAGACAAATCCTGCCCCATGTGCTTGCATGCAACATTATAAATAAGAGAAGAATATAGTATAATAAAGAGAAGAGCATGTATTTTATCAAGACACATATTCCATCATTTTAGTGTCCATAGAATATTAAAGATAGAAGTTTGTGAGAAATAATCTAAACAATGTCATGTAAGAGTAATCAGAATTATACTGTGATGAAGAGAACAAAATCACAAATTCCTCAAAAATTGTCACTCATTGTATCACTATTATAAGTAAACGACTTTCAGATAATTAAAAAAATAAACCTTTCATCAACTTAAAGATAAGTACACTACAGCATAGGTCTTTGTGAAAAGCAAATCAATATTTTATGATTTTCACGGCAGAAAACAATACAAGTGTACTACATATAAAAAGTGCATTAATCAATTTTTTTCTTTGGACATGAAGATATTGTTATGCATTTTATTTGGTGGATATAATGTATATTTTACATTGATAATTGTAACAATTTCCAAATAATGCAAGCACTAATCGGGAAAACAGAAACGTTGGCTGTATGTGAACATGTAAATCCCAAAGCCTCTTTTTGTTGATCAAGTGAAAGCAATCAGTGACCACCCTTGACAGCAGCCAGGATCTATGATTTCATGTTTTGAGGGGTTTTTTTAGTGGTGGGATTCAAATATGTGAACAACCAGTTCTCTGTGTGGATGCTGCTTCCGGAAGTCTATTCTGGGCCTGAGCAACAAAAAATTAGCTACCGGTTCTGCCGAAGTGGGGTGAACCAGCTGAATCCTACCACTGGGTTTTTTATGAGAAACTAATATGCTGCAAAGAAAAGACTCAGTCTTAAGCATAATTATACTTTTTATTGGCAAGAATGTTTGATGGTCCACATAAATTATAAAAGGATAGACATGTAATATGTAAATATATATATATATATATATATATATATATATATATATATATAAGAGCAATAAGAATGAGAGGGAGGGAAGAGGGAGAGAGTAAAAAAGCAAGAGAGAGATTAGATATAGATGAAAGATAAATGATAGCTATAGCTAAATATAACATTTTAATATATAGTATAAAATATAAAAGGGCCAGTCTGGACTTTTGTTGGGAAATGTATTTTTCTGCTCAGACAATGATAAGCCAAGATGGTAGTGCATCCAGCATAGGAATGTTGCAACAATGTTAGTGAAAGTAGCTTGATCCGCTCAGCTTGTACTAAGCAACATTTTATTAGTAGCCTTACACTGCTGAACAGTTACTTTATCAGACTTGTCATGTCAAGGTATGTTCTTTCTGTCTTTTTAACTTGGTATATTTTATATTGTTTTTATGGTCTCTTTAATTGTAAAGCCACACAGAGTCTATTATACAGTGAAATGGGTGGTGTATAAATTTGATTAATAAATAAAATCAACATTCCTAATTATAGTTCCTTTTGGCATAAAATTTTAGGAATCTGTGATCTAGGAAGTAGGAGACTTATACTGACTGATCTATGGTTTATGTTTATTGGCTCACAATACCTCATTAAGACACACAACACAAGATGAGAAGACAATTAATCTGCCTAAAAGATACAGCTTGGAGTTTTTAATCTTCAGGTAAATGCTATCTTTAATTATCAGTCAATGTTAGGATCATTTTTGAAATCACAAAAAAGATTATATCATTTGATAGGATACATAATATATTATAATAAAACCATATTTTAATATTTTCTTAATTATATTTTTGGATAAAGCAGGATTGATCTTGATACTTATTATGATTTTTTAAAAGAATGTTGCAAATTAAATGTAATGTAGATAAAATGTGGAACACTACCAATATGTAGTATCATATTTTTTTTAAAAAAAAATGTACTGCTAAACAATGTTATATCACATTTATTGATTCCAAATTAAAAAGGTTACATAAAAGAAAAGCAACACCAAGCAAGTATGCAATGAAAAATATGCATAATGTTACATATGTTTTGACATTACACTTAGGAAGAGGCTATTACATATACAATTTGCACATCTTTTAAGAAAAATAAGATACATGACAGTAAACATTTGTGGTTGTTAATAGCACAGAATGACATGGACAAAAATTAAATGAAAATGTACGGTTCATAAACTACTTTAAATATACATATTCTATATTTGGAGAATTTTGTTCTTAAATAATATTTTAGATATTTGTTGTGATCTGTTGTCTTTCACTCATTCCCTCATCGTTATTCTCACATAGGCTTCTGTTTCAGTGGTAGTTCATACAAGTGAATCTTGGATTTAAGTTTGAATGTAAGTTTCTTTCTCTTTTTTCTTTGTACAGGTGAGAGGAAAGCAGATGCTGGGTCTCATGCTAAAAGAAACCAGCTTCAAACTAAAATTAGGGAACTGACATTATAATCAAAGTTAATTTAATAAATTCAAGACTAAAATGTAACTTAAGTCAGAGTTCCTAAACCTTTCCAGCTTTGAGGACCATTGGAAGGGGAGAAAGGGGAAGTTCCTGCACAAATGGCAGGCAAGCATGCACACAGCTCCATTTATATAAACTACAGGCATGCACTCCCACTGCTCGTGCAAATGGAGCATAGGTGCACACACTCACCTACTGTTTGCCTGCTGTTCATGCAAGTGGGGATATATGCATGCGTATAGTCACCCACTGCTCCTGCAAACCAGTTCTGAATGGTTTACGGCCCAGTAGTGGGCCACAGCCCAGGGCTTGGGGACCTCCAACCTAAATGATCATTTGATTAGGCCAGTATTTTTGTTTTCAAAAGACTGGAATGCTCTGCAGTCTTGCTTTGGATTAAGACCAAAATAACACTTAGGGACTGCAAGCTACATTTAATGAGATTTGCTCTATTTCAGGATTTTTTTTAAAGGGTTAATAATAAAGGCAATGAATTACTAGAATTAAGTGAATTACATAACCCACAAATAGGTTCCAATGCACACTACATTATACACTTTTTAAAATTAAAGCTATGCAACAGAGTTCAATCCCAATGAATAAGTCACCTACTAATTAAAATGTTTTATTAAATGTTTTATTAAATAAATTAAAATTCACCCATTACTTTTTTTATTGGTGGGAAACTGTTTGGGGCAATGCCAAGAAAAATATATGCCCTCTTTATGTCTCTTCTGTTTCAAGTCTTTCTTTTCTTTTATCTTTCTTTTCCACATCTACATATTTCAACTCCCATCTAACTTCTCAATTAAATTAGTGCTCTAAATCTCATATTTTCAGACTTTCTTTCTCCTCTTCATTCCAAGAGCTGGGCCAGTTCTTTGCTATTATTAAGCTTTGTCTTGTTTATCATTGGATATATCAGGGTTATAGGTAACATAGGTGTCAGAATGCATGTGATATACTATCCTTTTTTTGTTCATAATATTCTGATAGAGTAATTTTTCTGGTCCCTGGATGCCTTTAGAAGAAAACTATGTGCACTGAGACATTTTAGCAACAGCTGCAAGATAGACCCTTGGACAATGCCTTTGCAAACATGCTATCCCCAAATAGTTGACATTGAACATGTATGTTTCTCTGTGTCTGTGTTCATATATACACACAAACACACACACACACACACACACACACACACACACAGAGAGAGAGAGAGAGAGAGAGAAAGAGAGAGATAAAGAGAGAACATCAAAATACATAAAGTACAGATACAACAATCATCTTTAAAATAAAAATTGCTTTCCTTTATTTCCTGTTTTTTTTCCTGAAAATATAATTGCTGCAAAAACAATTGTCTATTTTACTAGCACAATGGTTATAACACTTGCTCATATGCCAATCAAAATATAATATTGGTCTAGAAAAAGGAAAATAAGACAACAGGGCTTGAAGTCGTCCATTCCTGTCCTGCAAACAAAGGTTTGCAAAATTCAATTGGGCAACCTGGCAATGAAGATAAGAACTAGATCTTGTTCGCTAGTTTTCAATATCAGATCAGGGCTAGGCTCTTTTATACTGTTCCATGTCACTTTAAAAAAGTTTAGTTACAAGTGTCATGAGTAGAGTGATGGGAAAACCATTTGATGATTATGGAATCGGAAAGTAATCCTGAATACCTGAAGCCTGCTACCAATACATTTGCCATGGTGAAGATATAAGGTGAGCAACCTAATTCAGGTTCTCTAAGTTGCAATTTTTTTTTCCAGTGGATGTTTCCACCTAGCCACCTTCTCTGAAAATTAGAAGAGGAAGTGATTACCAGTGATCAATAGTCATGAATTAGCATTATCTGGGACAAAGATGGATGAGTGGAAATGAGACATATTTGGGAGCATAATTTCCTGTTGTCTTATAGATTCTACTTCTTGTCTGAAGATATTCAATACGGAGATCCTAGACTGCAGTTTTTAGAAATCTGTCTACTATTATGGCTGCTACCTTATTACCTAAATTTTTGTTAAAGAAACATGCACATGATAAAATAGAATTATAGTGCTGTTTGAACATTAAAACATCTTGCTATTATAAACTAGTTACATTTTCCAAAATTAAAAAAGTAAAATCCTATACATAAATTGTATGCAATATCTATCAGATATAATCTAAAATAGGTTAATGTTCTCCCTAATACCAAACATATTTAATTTCAAATCTCTCAATTTAATGTACCTTTAACATAAATACAGTGAAAATTTGTGTTCATGGAAATTTCCCCAAAGTTTTATGCCGTGGTATTTATTTATTTATTTAAAATGCCGTGGTATTCAATGACTATGTATGTATGCATGTATGCATTTCTGTATGCATTTATTTATTTACTTACTTACTTACTTACTTACTTACTTACTTACTTATTTGCCAGCCTAATAAAGGAATGAAATAGTGTGAGTCATTGCAGCTCATGCTATGCTATTTTTTATCCCAGCAGAATGGAATAGGTAAAAAAAAAACTTACAAAGTTATGTATTTTTAGTAAGATTCTCAGGCCAATATGAATTTGAATATCATTGTTCCAATCTCTGTAAAAGAGCCAAAAAATAAAAACAAAAACTCTTCATAGAGAATACTAATGTCACAACTGGTGCAACTAGGCAAGACTTGTTGCCATTTTATTATTATTATTATTTATAATTAAATTAATGTAGAACTATTCTTGTCTATTAGAAACATGAAATATTCTAAGTATTCCTATTATATAACTTCTATTATAAATAAATCATGTTTATTGTCAGGTTTTGATATGAGAATTACTTTATATTACAATTTGGATATATTGATGAGGAAAAAAAAAACTTTTTAAAGCTTCAATCCTATACCTTGGTAATAAGAGTAAATATGTTTATGTTGTTTGAAGTAATACTTTTACAAGATCAATAATCTGACATCTTATATTTTGATTTGCAATGTATCTGCATGCCATTTTATCAGTAACATTGGAAGATGCCTTAAAATTTAATGACATTTGAAATAAAGGTCATGATGACATTTAGAGGATAGCTGTAATACGAGAAAGTGTTTTTTGTTTGTGTTTGCATGAGTATGCATGGATCAGACAGTTTTAGCTTATAGTTGCATTTTATGTTATAGTAATATTAATATTATTATAATATTTAGAGGATTTAATTGTGATAAGAATACGAAAGAAATTTATTAGGGGAAGTTACCAGTTTGAACTATATATATATACTTCCCTCTGACTTGAGTGATATTTTGCAATGTCTTTATTTGGTATTGTTTAAGTATAAGCAAAGTACAATCTTTTTAAAATTATTTATTTAATGGCAGAGATAATCTTAGATATATTATAGAGATGAATACAAAAATCTGTTTAACTAGTTTACTAACTAAGTGAAGGCTGAATTTTACCAATTTTTTTTAAAGGAATGATATAATAAGGAAGAAATCACATATAAACACATTTCCATAAAGGCACAGCAATATGCATAGTAGTTTAGATGAAACCAAATGTTTAATAATAAAGCTCTGATTATATGCAAATCATAACATACAGGTGATTACATAATCCTATTAATAACTGTATATTGATTGGCAAAAAGTTAGATGAGAAGAAAAATCTTTTACTTTAAACCACACTACAAGCAACCAATCAAATGTGTATTTGAAACTGTATACGCTGATGAACCAAGGACAGATTTTAACTTGGTAGGTGTCACCTTTGAATTATAAAATATTTCCAGGCAATGAAGCCTTTACATCAAATTATACCTACCAAAAAGCAAATTGTGATTTATGTTTTTTTCACTGAAAAAAACCACTTGTAAGAAATATTTATGCAGTATCTTCCATTGCTGTGGTGTTAGTATAACATAACAAATATTTTAAAAGAGTGCCAAAAATCTAATTTTATGCATATTATTTTAGATTAAAAAAAATACAGAGCAAATGTTCCACTATGGGCTTGGTTCATCACCAATATTAAAAAATACACAACATACTTATAACTATCAAGAAAACAAAACCAGCAGCATTCAGCTGCAGTGATTGACTTCCAATTCCACCTTTATGGGCTTCACAGCAAGTATCTGCTTTGATGAAAATTGATATAAAATTGGATTGAAAAGTTGAAAAAAAAATGAGAAAAAAGTATGTGAAAAAATAAAAAGAAACAGTGAGAGTGAGAAAGAAAAAAAGAGAAAAATAATTAATGCAATATTTACACAATGCCAGTCACTTACTTAAAGCAATCATTTTCATATAAAATGCTGAAACTATAAATAAATGAAAGGCTTTCAAAAAGTAGGATGAATTTCAGATTAAACAGTGATTAAAATTTACGATAATTTCCGGCATAATTTCCTCTGTGAACTATAATAGAGAGATCAAGATCATTAGGCTACTGTCTTGTACATGAACAGGAATATCATATTATCCCATTACTGTGCTTGCTGTCATTTAATCATTACAGTTTACTTACCTCTTAAGCTAGTTCATCATGTGCAAGGACACTGAAAATGTAATAGAACTCTCTTCAACTCACCTGTACTGACTATCCAGATAATTAGAAGTGACAACTAAAAGTGACAATATTCACTAGACTCACTCTACAAATTACTTATTCTCAATGATTTACGTTCAGTTACATGGAGTTAATACAGTATAATACATCTATAAAATGATTTACCTGCAAGCAGGAAAATGACAGGATTGCACATATTAACTCTGCTCAATGAAATATTAAATTTGCATATTAAGTTGCTCAGGAATATCATAGGCTAACAGTCAATGTTAAGATTATGAATTTTAATCCCTGAGTTTAGTAGAGAATTGGTGCTATTATTCTATTATCTTAATGTCTATTTCAGACCACATTTCAGAATAATTCTAGAATTATTTTAATCACCAAAACCTAAAATATTAAGTATTATTGATGATATATTATTCTACTTTGTGCCTAAGTTGCTAAATGATAACCAAAATCATTCAGCTTTTCAAAATATAGTTTTTATTTATATAATATACTTACAACACTATCCACATATATTTTTAACTAAAATCATGTCTATTATTAACCCTTACTTCTTTCTGAAACTTTATTTACAGTTTGAGGTCTGTGTGGTCAGAATTAAAATGGTTTGCTGAAGAATATGACTGAGCACTGTGTATAAAGTACACAACTTTCAAACTGCTGATCTTCATAAGTGTAGGAATTGTAGGTTTACAGTTAAGGTAACTTATTGCATTTAGATCACTGCTTCAGATCACTGTGACATGCAATTTTTATCCCTATCATACAGTCCCATATATGACTTCTTTAAAAAAAATTAAACAAGGAAATGCAATTTGTTCAGGACAATGAACAGCAAAAACAAATAAGTACTTTTGCATACAAATCCAGAAAATAATATTCAACAATCAGTATAATAAATGAAAGGTTTAGATAAAACAGTTATTTTATCAAATTGTTTTCATGTAGAATAGCTTGTGACAACAAACTAATTCATAGCATAATGAGATAGCATAATGAGTCAATCAGCCAAATAGAAAAGCTCAAGTATATAGTATCCTAGAACTTGTGAAGTAGTTACTAATGAATCAAAGTTCTGTCTTTTCTTAGTGTAATTCTATCATTAATTAGTTTAATGAACAGATGAAAGGTGTATTATCAAATTTGTAGATGATAATAAATTTGTTAAAATAATTAAGCTACTAGAATATAGGAAAAAATATTATTTTGTCAAGCTGGAGGAATGGGCTGAAAGTAACAGAATGAATTTTAAAAGAATCAAGTGCAAAGTTTTCACTGAGAGAACAAAAATCAGATGGCTCAGAGACCGGGTGGGGATACTAGATTTGGTATTGATATGGTACTTGTAAAAAAGATTTTGAAATAGTAGTTGATGAGCAAGCAGGACAGAATGCTTTCAAAAAACAGAAATGCAATTTGAATCTGCAACAGCAATATAATTTCTAAATCATGGAAAACTATCATTTTATTTTGTTCTGTTTTGGTCAAAGCCCATTATGCTCAGCAGTGGGAGGCCCAATCAGAGAATTTTCAGAGCAGCTGGAACATATTCAGAAAAAGAGCAATAAAATGATGAGGGGAATCTCTGTATCTTTGAGAAGATGACTGATAGGAAATAAGATACCTATCTTCAAATATCTGAAAATGGTACTTACAGATGTATTTTTTATCCATCCATCTGCAGACTTAAAGAATCAAAGTAAGAGGTGTTCTGTATGTTTGTTTTTGTTTTATTGGTAGTCAGCCTGGTTTGAAGCTTAAGTCACACAAATACTCCTTAAATTACGTGCAGGCTAGTGTATTCACCATTTGTGTCAAGGTTTAAAAGGGTAGAATGTCCTCCCCTACCCCCACCTAGATTCAGAGAGGATAATGTTGATGAATAGGGCGGCTGAAGAAGTTGAATATTAATGGCAAAAATGGGGAAAAGGATCAACTGACACAAGAAGAATGTGTGATGGATGTAAATATTCCCAGGAAGAGGAGGAAAAAGAGTAGGACTAGAAAAAAAAAAAAAAAAACCCAAGCAGTATAGAGGAAAGATACCACAGAGAAATAAAATACTGAACCAAAAGCCATGCTAAATGATACAGTTGCTAACTTTTCAAGAGGTCACTTAGGAAATAATCCTAGAAAATAATCATAATTGTTTAATAATCATAAATAATAATCATAAAATGATCAATAAAATGAGCAAGCTAACCATTTAAAATATTTAGATGTTTTAAGCATCTAGAACCAAAAAAAAAAAAAAAATCTATGGAGATTCTCAGTCATCCAGGTCATGATTGTCCCAAAGGTGCTTTTTTAAAAGGCAACTGGACTTGTGAAGTGAAATGAAGAAGTGAAGATGTTTCACTTCTCATCCAATAAGCTTTTTTCAATTCTGAACAGAAGAAACTTCTTAGATGAGAAGGGAAACGTCTTCAAGTCCAGTTGCCTTTTGAAAAAGGTCTTTGGGACAATCTTACAAAAACTTTATTAAATTTATATGCATCTAACATTGGCAAATGAATTCTGTTGAGCATATGAATACCCAGTGCTTTATATATATATATATATATATATATATATATATATATATATATATATATATATATGTAGGTCTTTGGTTGTTCGGGTTTTCTCCCACGTAAAATTGGAAGTGTCTTGGCGACGTTTCGACGAAGTCCCATTCGTCATCTTCAGGCTGGTGCTTTCAGCTTCGTGCCTCGAGCAGCAGTGTGTGGTCTTGGCTGTTTCTTCCTTTTAACTGCCAGTGGAGGTATGAACTGATTGGGTGGGAGCTTGGCTGTGTTCTGATTGGGTGGAGGTGTGTTCTGATTGGTTGTCTTAGTCTACAAGAAATCCAATGGCTCCCTAGGACACACCATCTACCAGAAGAAAACACACACAAACCGCTATCTGCACGCTCTCTCACACCACCACCCAGCACAGATCAACTCTGTAGCCAAGACACTCATCTCCAGAACAAAACGCTTAGCTGACGAACAACACCTAAAACCCGAACTACACACTCTCACCAATGTACTAACATCCAATGGATTCCATAGAAATAAGATTACAAACCTAATCCAAAAAGAAACCCCCACTAAAATCCAAGACAAAGAACAAGAAAACGGCAAAGCCATCCTCCCATACATAAAAGGCATCACAGACAGAATCAGTAAGATCCTCCATAAACACAACATCAAAACAGCATTCTGCACAAACAGAAAAATATCCACCATCCTTAGAAACCCCAAAGATAAAATTGAATTAGAAAATCAAGGAGTATACGAAATCCCATGCACCACTTGTCCCACCACATACATCGGACAAACCAACAGAAGAATAAGTGCACGCATTGAAGAACATAAGAACTCAGTCAAAAAAGAGGAACCAACATCTTCCCTGGTCCAACACCTTAAAGCCACAGGACATGAAATTGACTTTAAAAATACCAGAACCATTGCCAAAAGTGAACATTTTAATAACAGAATAATCAGAGAAGCCATCGAGATAGAAAAACGCCCACACAGCATGAACAAGCGAGATGATACCTCCCGCCTACCAGCCATTTGGAAACCCGCCCTTATTGACAAACGACTCCCTAACACAAAAAATGATACCAGACCCACACTCACAAAAACCACACAGGATGTCACCACCAAACATCCACGCAAAAAACAAACCCAAAGCCACACTGACTATGAGGCACGACCACAAACCAGAAGCCAGACCACAGCTGCATCATTAGCCACTTTAAACCCCCCCAATCCATACATGAAGCAAACTGACACCCTCCATGAAGAGGAAGCACGACCACGAACGCGAAGCCAAGGAATGGCAGGGCAGCCCAAAATCTTGAATCCCTCTGCAACTCAGACTAACCTGAGCACAACCAAACAGAACACTCCCCCAGCCAATCAGAGCACAGCCAACCCCCCAGCCAATCAGAGCACAGCCAAGCCCCTAACCAATCAGAACACACCTCCACCCAATCAGAACACAGCCAAGCTCCCACCCAATCAGTTCATACCCCACTGGCAGTTAAAAGGAAGAAACAGCCAAGACCACACACTGCTGCTCGAGGCACGAAGCTGAAAGCACCAGCCTGAAGATGACGAATGGGACTTCGTCGAAACGTCGCAAGACACTTCCAATTTTACGTGGGAGAAAACCCGAACAACCAAAGACCTACATACAAATACCCGCGAAAACCTCAGAAAACAAAATATATATATATATATATATATATATTATATATATATATATATATAAGATATATATATATGGGTCTTTGGTTGTTCGGGTTTTCTCCCGCGTAAAATTGGAAGTGTCTTGGCGACGTTTCGACGAAGTCCCATTCGTCATCTTCAGGCTGGTTTTCAGCTTCGTGCTTCGAGCAGCAATGTTGCTGCTCGAAGCACGAAGCTGAAAACACCAGCCTGAAAGATGACGAATGGGACTTCGTCGAAACGTCGCCAAGACACTTCCAATTTTACGTGGGAGAAAACCCGAACAACCAAAGACCTACATACAAACACCCGCGAAAACCTCAGAAAACATATATATATATATATATATATATATATATATATATAAGGTGCCTGAACTTACACACATCATACAACCCACCTTGCCTACCCTACAAGGCGCCGGAACTCTGTTCTGGGCGCTCTATGACAAAAAAAGCCCTGTGAATACCTATTCTTAAAGCATTTTAAAGAAACTGGGAAAAAAAAATGAAACAACTTCCATTAATTCATAGAAAAAAATGAGACTTCCTTGAATACTGTATCATCTATCTACAGGTGGTCTTGTTAATTGAATCCTGGATCAGTCTGCTGCAAGGAATGTGCAGACAGTAATAACATTTGGCAGGACAATCAAGATTTTTCTCTATTAAGGTCACAAAAAAGTTGTATAGCTAGAGAAGCCAGCATGAGTTCTGTAATGTGCGTAGAGTGATTTTTTTCATCATCACCATCCCAAATATTCCAAAGGAAAAGAAAGCCATCTGTCATGTATAGAATATAGATTCTTATGAAGAATATAGAATTAAATATTTTTCTTCATATCAGGCCATTCCAATCAATAAAAATTTTGACTGAGGATTGAACAAAACAGATTTCTAGGCATCCCAGGCATTATCTTATTTTTCTCCTCTTAAACTCTTGCATATTTTTTTAAATAATTATGAAAAACAGTCTCTCATTCATAGTTAATATTAGTTAATAGTTAATACTGCTAATGTTATTGCTAGCTAATTGCTATTATATATTATGAAAAATTGTTTCTGATCTTGCATAAATTTTCTGTAACTGGTGTTCTGTTTATTTCTGGAACTTTAGTATTGTTTAAGGAAATATAAAGTCAAAATCCTAATAAAAGAAAGACAGGAAGAAAATTCACAAGAAAGGATAGTTTAATTTATTTGAAAATATCCTTTCAGATATCAAAATATCCTTTTGATTATTTTATACCCTTGACAACATATTGTATATATTCATGTAGAAATGTTCTACTCAGTCCTGTATTTACCATTAGCTAATGTTGCTAGTATCTTTTCAGAAGACTCTAGAATTTCTAATGTCAAATAATAACAATGATAAAAAAACTCCTATCTAGTTCTTATAGAATATGAAATATGTGATTAAATGATCAGATATTGATCTGTCCAATCATTTTGTGAAAAATGTTCCTGCTGCAATCATATAGATAAATGAAAACGATAAAATAAGATAAGAGCATATGGAAATATTAACTAACTCTGAATGATGTAGAGAGTTAAATACAGGTAGTCCTTGACTTACAACTACAATTGGAGCCAAAATTATTTTATTTTTTAAATCTATACTGTTAACATTTTTCAGATTTTGATTTACATGTTTGGTATATGAATATTAGTTATGTACATTAAAGAGATCTCCACTCTTTACTGAATTTGTGATTGGAAGTAAAATGTCTTGCCAAAACATAGATAACAAAAGTAGTTGAGACTCTATCTAGCTCAGATATTATTGCAAGTCAGAAAAAAATCAAAGAAAAATTAAAGGAAAAAACCATTATGCCTATTAAAACTGAAGCCAGTAGCACTGAAGCCTACATCTGTCCTGCAAAGAATCCAAAATTGACGTAAAGAATAGGGAGAAATATATGGGATCTCAAATTTATATTATAATGTTCTGCTGGCAATATATTTAAAGAAATATAGCAGCATCCAGTTCTTTCCATAAGTGTCTCTGTGTATAGCTACTTTGCTTTTCTGAAATAAAAACAAGGTAGAATAATTCTGCATGCCAACACAATATAGACAGCCAGAAACAGCTGTTGAAGCAACCACATAAACATGGGGGAAAAAGATGAAACTGTTTTAATTATGAAGTATTCCTTCAGAAAATTTCCACAAGTCTTCTGCACAACAAATGAAGGCAGGCAGGCAGGCAAGCAAAGATATAGTGCAAAATATTAAATAAAAAAATGTGCTGCCCAGGGAAAATTAAGCCAGTTGTTTCTGGCTGATCTCACAATATATCAGCAAAAAGTCAAAAGAAGATGTAGATGAGTAGGATTAGACTATATCCAAGTTGTATCTGGACTGGAAATGGTCCAGAGTGCTAACTAAAAGTTGTCCAGATGAAGGCAATCACAAGTAAATTCGAATCAAACTAATGGCAGTTCAAAATGACTGAATGACTAAGCAAACAAAGCCATCAATCAACCTCTACTTTTTGAAGTTTTGAGATTTGTGCAAATTTAGGCAGCTTAATGTCAGTTTGGTGTGATATTTTCTACTTTAACTACTTTTCGAAGAATATAATCTTTTAGCACTTAAAAATTAAACTTGTATTAGCCATTATTATCACAATTCACCTTTTCACAATTGCTTTTCAAATCTGCCTCAAATTCAGATGGGGTATTTTAAACGTCACAATATATCTTGCAATTAAAATTACCACACCAAAATGTTTGTCCGTTGCAAGATAAACATATCCTGCCTCTAGCTACTGAATGCTGTTGAAATTTAATTTATACTTCATATCTAGGATTTTGTTTTTGTTGTTTTATTTATTCATGAGAATGTGTCCTTTTTTTTTCATTTCAAAGACCTAGTTTAAATTTTGTAAGTAGCATAATTAATTAACAGGCAATATGCTAATACTGTATAAACAAATTTTATTAAAATATCATATGTGTCAGGCACAAGCAACCAAACGTGAATAGCTGAAATCAGTAACTTTATATTCTACCACTTAATGGTATAAGACTACTTCCCTTCCCCTGGGAAAAATAAAATAAAGCTTCATGGCTCTTGGGAAAGTCAAGCTTATGTCACTAGAGGCTGTGTAACAACTCCGAGTTAGAGCCTCACTTGACCCTTCCTTTCAGCTGGCAGTTTTCCAATATCATGCTTAAAATACCACACAGCTACTTTAAGCAAAATATGTCCACCTGAAAATATTTCACATACTGCTTTCTGCATTAATATTGCTTCATTGAGAAGAAGGATACTCTATACAAGTTTGGTGTTGTTGTTGTTTGCAAAAAACTGGTAGTAGTTGCATATTGTTCTCTCCAACTCTGGAAAATCTCTTTATAAAATTCATTTATATCTGAATGCCACAAAAATTGTTCTAAAATGCTAATGTTAAAAAAGGCTATAAGCAGTAAATTGTACATTGATGATTTAGGCTTTTGTGATATATATTGATCAGCATGTAAAACACAATAAAGAGTTATCTGTTTATTCCACCAGCAGCCAGAAACAAAGTTTACAGAACTAATTTATAAAGGAATTTAAAAAGCATACTAACCTATATTAAAAACTAAAAGTAGATGTAATTGCTAGATAACATATTAAAATTAACTTACCTGTGATAATATTGGGCTTTGGTGGCATGATGAACTCATATAAAGTTGGTTCAGAATATCCCAGCCTGTTTATAGCTGTAATTTGCACTTCATAACCCATTGTCCACTGCAAGTGCTCAAGAATAATGAAGTCTTTATTACCATGAACCTTTTTTTCTTGCCATTGCTCTTCCTTATCTTTCTGTAAAGTTTGAATAATAGTTGAAATTATGGTGAACTAAATACTTATAATGAATATTTTAAATATTGATTTGCAATTATTTCAAATCAGGCATTGTGACTATTTTCCTCTTGAGCACAGAGAATCAAATAATATTAAATCTTTATAGACTGCACTTAGAACTGGGGTATAAAAATGCAAACTCTTTTTACTTAACCATTTAATCTTGGAACAAAGTGCATATTCTCTGGCAACAAAGTGGCTATGTATGTACACTGAAATTACAATATTCCTGTGTCAAATATAAAGTTATTTGCATACACAGCAAAACAACTTTATAGGTCTCATCTTTAATTCATTACAAGGTGGTTTATACTGGTTTATATTATATTACCTATTATAATGAACACATTAAGGATTACAGAGATAAACATTGTGAAGTGTTTAATAAAATGCAAATCTCAATTTTTGGTTTTCACGTTAAATATATATCACGTTACTAGGACACCTTGGCAGCTAACAGATCATTAGGTTTGATAGCCTATATTCAATAGGTCTTTAAGAATTCAAATATGAAAATGCTAATAACCTGGCTAAAATAATACTTTATATCTCAGTTAAGTAGGATTAGAAAGTAATACATTATCCCCCAATTTTTAAAAAGAATCCTGCCTTATCCGTGATGGGAAGAGCCCTTATAGGATCCAAAATATTGAATGAGATATATGTTGGTTGACTTGGTTACTTTATTAATCAATATTTATGTCTATTCCACTATCCTGCTGTTTTAATATTTCAAAGGCTGATATGGTATGATTTTATGCCATATTATATTATAGTTGTTTGTTCTCATGTCCCTCCAGAATCACTAAATCAATCAATAAACTTCATCTGTGTATGATCTAGATAATTACATAAAACAATGTTATTCAATTTTTAAGCAAATGGTAATAGTAATGACAGGACTTTTTTGTCATAGAACACCCAGAATGGAGTTCCAGCACCTTTTTTGGATGGAACCTTGTAGGGCAGGCAAGGCGGGTTGTATGATGTGTGTATGTTCTGGCACCTTTTTTTTTTTTTTTACAAAAAAAGCACTGGTAACAAAGAATAATCTGCAAATATTGATCTATAACTAATTTTGTTAAGAAAACCTATTTTCAGTAAAAAGTTATACCTGATGCATGGCAAACAAATATACATAAGCACACACAGAGAGATATTTTTATCAATAAATAGAAAGACAGCATTATAATACTGTCTTGATTTATAGAACAAAGCTATTTGATTTTTATTCCATAACACTGATTTTATATCACTACATGAAAACAGTATCTATGGAAAGGAAGAAATTAATTCATATGAAAGGTCAGACCTAAGTAGTGGCAAAAATATGGTGCACAGATGTCAGAAAGCACAGGTGGCAATAATAATAATAATAATAATAATAATAATAAAGTTGGAAGGGACCTTGGAGGTCGAGTCAAACCCCCTGCTCAGGCAGGAACCCTACACCATTTCAGACAAATGGCTGTCCAGTCTCTTCTTAAAAACTTTCAGTGTTGGAGCATTCACCCCGTAAGCAATTGTACTACAGATTTATTATCTTGTGTACACATTAATTGAAAACACTTTATATTGTATCCTTAATTCACCTTCTCAGTTCTTGAGTACAATTTGCTCTTTGATTATACAAACATGGTTTATAATTACTCATATGCTGCAATATAAGGTGAGAAGTATACATAGAGAGAAGAAGATAAATTCTCACCACTATTTCAGAGGTTGCAAAATATTTATATTGCTCAATAATAAACCCTGTTACTTTGAACTCTCATATTTCTGGTAACAATTGCTAAATACTATGAGAAACTATATGTTACCACTGTGGTGCTATATTTACGAATCCTATTTTCATATCTGAAACTCCAATGTCAATGTAAAACTGCCATTATCGTTATCATCACCTTCAAATACAGAAAATACAAGAATGTATTTTCTAAACTAATAAAAAGGACAGACATAGAATATCATCCAATTTACTCTCCCATCCTTACCTACCTTTGGTTGGATATTGGTGATATTTAAAAACCAACCTGACCCATCAGTACTTTAAATTGTATCTACAGGGCAATCGGTAACTAGATCTTTTAATACAGGCATAATGACTCCTGAATCTTGCCCCAATTACAAACCCAATCACTACATTTTGCTTCAGTTGAAATTTCAAGTAAAGAACAGTCCCTCATCACATGCATAGAATAATTTAGCTGGGGCACAAATGAAACAAAAGACAAGCAACTTTTTGCATGCAAAGCTGACTAAGTTAGCTATAGGAGCCATTCCTTACCATGGCTAATTCCTGAAACCAAATCCAGATAATAAATCTACTTAAAAAGCACTCCTAACCCGGAATCCTGATCTTTTGGGAGAGTCTAAAGTACCAATTGCTTGACACAGTTAGCAGTAAAACTGCCCTAGGGCCTTAGCTCATTTTAGGAAGGGGGAGTAGGAGGAGTTGGCTATAAATTATGAGAAGGCAAATGGCAGGTATCCTAAAACAGCAATAAAGCCCATAATTAGAAGACAGATAATCATAAAAATGAACAAGTGAAACATGTTAAATATTTAGATGTTTCAAGCATCTAGAACTAAAAAAGGTAATGCAAATTCTGCTTCCAATATGACCAATTATGCAAATTATGCTTCCAATACATGACAGTGTAGTTGCCATTTTCAAATTTCACTGAAACACTTTGTTCCAGATGCTGCATAGCTATTGGGCTATGGTTCCAGTTTAATTTCCAACGAAAAAAGTGCAAGCTTTTTTTTTATACCTGTTATGACACCCAGGAAGCTCAGTGCAGAAATAAGATTGTAGGCAGGAGTATCCATAATTTAGGTCACAATTTGGAAATCACATGGCTAAATGACTGCAGGCTTGCACTGCAAAATATATATATATTTTTTACTTGTATATGGGTCCTTTCCTAATCTTGCTTTAATGCTCTCATGTCTGCTATACTGAAGGAGAAAACTGACAAAAATCTAGTTCAGAGGCAAGGCTCATGTGAATTAAGTAGCATTGAATCCAGGCAACATGGATTTTATACATTTGTGCATTATATTATAATTTAAGATTAAATTAGTCACTATTTAAATAGTTCAAGTGGGACTGAATAATTTTTTAGTAATTACTTATATCATTTCTATTACAAAATATTGCTACTTCACAATACTCTTACAGAACAAAATGACCAACTGAAGCAGTAACTGTGCTTAACTATTCAGAATCATTGGGAGTCGAGTAGCATGTAAATTTAATGAATTATTCAGTCAGTCAAATGGTTTGTACTGGATTTGGCCTTTTTGTCTACCTCTCAAGTCCTTTCCCTGGACCTGAGATAGGCATATGTTATAAAATTAAAGGTATCTTCATAGAATGTAAGTCACAGGTGTCAAACTCACCATGTCACATGATATGTTGCGATGTATTGTGACTTTTTTTGCATTGCTGAAGCTGGGATGGGCGTGGCCTCCATATGATACAACCAACCAGTGGCCAGCAGTTTGACACGCCTGATGTAAATCATTTCAAGTAAAGCTGAAATTGATTGTTGATGATTATGTCAATGCTAATAGTGTTCAGGTGGTCTTCTGATGTTTAGAAAGTGCACCCATGATGCCTATGAGTCTTTGTACTATCTTTGCTTTCTTTTGCCACAGTTGTTCTACTTCTATTTTCAGGTCTTTGTATTTTATGATTTTCTCCAGTTCTCTCTCTTGTAATCTACTGTCTCCAGATATTGCAATGTCAACCACCTAGACCAGGGGTGTCAAACTTGCAACGTCATGTGATGTGTTGTGACGTATTGTGACTTTTTTTCCATTGCCGGCAATGGGGTGGACGCAGTTTCAGCATGATGCATCTGTCCCAGGGCCGGCAATTTGACACCCCTGATCTTGATCTTTTCCTGTTTTTCTTATTAACAATTGTTAAACTGGGGATATTATGTGGTAGATGATTAACTGCTTGAAATCTGAAGTCCTAGAACACTTTAGTTTCTTTGTTTTTTATTACTTGACTGTTTTGTGGGCTTACCAGTTTTTTGTCTGCAGGCAAGTGGTATATCTCGCTGATATTCCAAAGCATCATTCTTACTAATTTGTCATGCTATTGTTTATAATTAGTCTGTACAATCATTTTACTGCAGGTAACTAGATGGCCCACTGTTTTAATCAGCTTTTTGCAAAAACAGTATTTGCTGTTCATTGCTTTCTTCTCATTTCTAGCTTAGTATGCTTTTGTTCTGAAGGGTTGGTCTTGTGTAGCCCCTTGGTCTCTTTCTTCAACTTTCCTCCTTTTATTCATTTACAGGTCTTGTGGTTATAGGCTTTGCTTGCTAGCTTTTTTGTGTAGTGGCCATGTAGTACTTTACCTTGCCATGTCTCTTTTCCATGCTAAATTTTAGGTCAGTTTGATCTCTTTGGAATTCAGTAAGCCTTCATAGTTTACTAGCTTCAGTGTACCTTCTTCCTGTCTTTCAGGTATTCTTGCTCTTTTCTCCATCATTTCTGCTGTTATTGCAAATTCTTTCATTTCAGTTTTTTTGTTCATTCTTCATGTCCATTATTCTTGCATTCTTTCTTATTTCTTTGAATGGATGAGGAAGTCTGAGGAAGATTCACCAGATTGAACTAGACTTTGACAATATCAATCTTTTTAGAGGAAAACAAAGACCTATGGTCCTTATCTTAAATAACACAAATTACTTAACTATTATAGTTTAATTTCTAAACTATTGTAGGAAGGCACTGGGTTCCTAAACAAAAAGAATTCCTTCTTGAATGGAATCACCAGCAATATAGTGTTAACAGAGCAGGAAATGAATGTGATATTGCTAATATGGCACTCTAAAATTCCTCTGTCTTTGTTCCTTAGTCATGAATTAAAATGAATAGAGTTGGAAGACATGGATAAGTCAATTGGGCATTAGAAGCTTACCAATGCTGGATGTGAAAACACAGACAAATTGAATCTGAGCATTGCTTTTCATTACAAACAAGGCTACAACTTTTGAATTTTAGAACTGTTGTAACTTTCTAATGAATGTTCTGCTAAACTGACCACTAATCAAATTGAAAAGTCATGCCTGATTTTTTTAAGCAAAAATGAAATTCTACCTCAGTTCTGAGAAATATGTGTTGTGTTCAGATATCTTCATTAAAATGAATTTGTAGATATTTAAATGTCATTTGGATATACTGTACTTCCTTTCATTGTCCTCTACTTCCTTGTCAGAAAAAAAGCAAAAGTTCCAGAAAACTTAAGGTTTGTGGGCTCCCTGCCAGCTTCACTCGCATTTGGTCATATCTTTATTATTCATCTATCCCTGATTATGATAATTATGTACACTCCCTGAAAGTGGTCTCTTTCATTAGCCTAGTTGGAAAATTCTACAAAGACTAGTTCCCAAACTTGGTTAGAGAACAACAAAATAATCAAGATATGTTATTTATTATTAGTAGTATAATACTTACACTTCTATATTTTACAATATATTCTAAAATAGGTGCTCCTCCATCATCTTGTTTTGTTATGGTAAGTTTAAAGCTTTTCCCACTACCTGGTTGTCCGTGAATTGATGGAGGACTTGGTTCACCTAAAAGGAATCAAAATAAGATGTGTGTTTAGAGACATTATTTAGAGAATGCAGTTGTTCACTGTCAGTTTAGTGCTGGCCTTAAACAATATTTATTTGGCAATACTGAAATAATTCCATAATCTACAAATATATTCAGAACACCCTATATTAAAAAATACAGTTTCTTAGAAACAGTCCATTTCTAAAACTTTTTGTAGTCAAAACAACATACAGTAAAGATGATGGATAATAGATAGATAGATAGATAGATAGATAGATAGATAGATGGATGGATGGATGGATAGATAGATAGATAGATAGATAGATAGATAGATAGATAGATAGATAATTTTCCTCACAGAAGAAAGAACATTCTATAGGAGGAAAATAACAGAAGTATAAGAAAATTATGAACTTTGATCTTTGAAAGTGACACAAATAGAAGAAAAATTGAAGAAAAACAGAATTAAAAAATAAAAGAATAAAACAATATTAACAGAATTGTTAATATTCATCCTACATACAATGAATGTCTATTTATCTATATGGGGAGGCGGAACATTCTCTGTAAATCAGTGCAATAAAGAGAGCTATGATACCAAGTTTTATCTTTAATTGTAGATGTTATTGCTGATGTATCTATGAGGGAACAAAATAAAGATTGAATAAAGCATGCCGAAAAATTTCTTCATGAAAAACATACATTTCCATTATGCCATATTCCTGCAATAGGGAAAAATACTATTATGATACAACTGTATACTAAGTTGATCCGTTTTTTTTTAAATATAATTTTGCAAAGTTGATCAATGTACTGCTCACTTAAAACTTGAACTTATATTTTATAAGGTATTTCACAACTACCTTAATAAAAAGTAGAAAATTAACTTTCAAAACATAATTATCTGAAATTCTGGCTATAATCCATAAATGGTGATGATATAAGCAGAAATCCTGCCTTCACAGCTGCCCTGCCTTCAAAAAATGGGCCTTATCCTGACTATACAAAGAGCAAGTGGCAGTTTTGGCTAGGAGAGCCTTTACACAACTTCATGTTGTGCGCCAGTTGTACCCTTTCCTAGATCATGAGGCTCTGGGCACAGTCACTCATGTCTTGATCATCTCTCAGTTGGGCTACTGCAATGTGCTCTATCCTTGAAAATATTTGGAAGCTACAATTTTATAGAATTCAATGGCATGGACAGTTTTGGAGACCTAAGGGTACATGTAACACCATTATTGTGCAAGCTATGCTAGTTGCTAATTTGATGCCGGATCCAATTCAAGGTATTGGCTATTACCTTAGCTCTTTATGATATGGGTCCTTGGTATCTGACGAGCCATTTTGCTTCAATGGATTTGGCCTATCCCATTTGCTCCAGCAGAAGGGTTGTACTATGTATCCCATTTGTCAAGAAAGTTTGGTTGGCAGGGTCTAGGAGAGCAGCCTTTTAGGCTGTAGTCCCTATGGTTTGGACCATGATCCTACTGGAAATGAGACCCATCCCTATCCTTTTGGCATTCCAGAAGGGCCTTAAAAATTGGGTCTGCCAGCTTGCTTGGAGCCCCAGTGGGCACTCTACAATGAAGTAGAGAAGACTCCAATATATAATTGTTTAATGCAAACATTATGTAAGCATGTGCTTATATAGCTACCATGCTTGTTTTCACTTACTGTATTTTGCATAAATTACTTCCATATATCATTATACTTTTCCATACAAAGTCTACATCTATAGGCAATCTGATCATAGGTAGCAAGTGTAATCAGGTGTTCAATCCATTGAATAAATATGACCATATATTAAACTTTTCAGTGTTGCTATAATAAGGGCATGGAACATCCATTTATGTTGTGTAGATGTTAAATACCATGGACTTGTTAGGTAATTCAAAAGAACATTATCCTCTGAAAATTTCATATTTATTTAATCCACTGCTTTCTCCCAAAAGACAGTAAATTTAGGACATTGTAAAAACATGTGTTTTAAAGAAGCATTGTCCTTATTATGTCTCCAACAAAATCCTGGACAATCCTTATCTATACAGATTAGAATCTATACAGTACAGATATAATGGAGTCCAAAAATTCGAATTGTTATTTTTGTGATATTCTATGAGTCATAATTAAACACTCCTTCTATAAAAATAAAAACAATCTCCTACTGTTTAAGCAACATAGAAGATTCTAATTCTTTATTCCACTCAACTCCTTAACATCTGCATATCAAATTGATTTATTGATAGCAAAAAACTAATAGGATTTTTTTTTTTAATTTTAAAAGGTTTAATATGTTGTTCTAGTATCTTGGATGTCTTAGAATCTGAAAATGGAGCTGGTCCAAATAATGTAGTTAACAAATATTGTAGCTGTAAATATTGTCAGTTATGACTTCCCCATATATTCAATTTAAAATGGGGGGGGGGGATTGAATTCTTGTTTTGGCAAAGAATTTATTTTTTAAAATAAAATCTATTGCCCAGAAATTTTACTCTGCATGTGTGTGTGTGTGACTGTGTCTGTGTGTGCATGCACATATATATTAATAATTGAACTACATATAAAATGCTTTAAGAAATTACCATATAGCCATGTAATTTAAATAAATTCATTGCTCCAATTCAGTTGATTCCTATGTAATTAAAACAGTAGTCTACTCAAGCTTGTAATTTCTTGCATCACTATTTGGAACTGAATTGTGAAATCCAGAATTACTTTCAGAACAGCGACAATTCAGTTACTTCATATGTCCTATTTATGTTGGAGAATTATTAGATAGTCATAAGCAAATTCAGGAGTATCATTAAGTTGTGTCAAACTTTATTTGTGATGCACCAATACCAAAATGAACACTAATAATTTTTAAATAAATATAATTTACCCATAGGGCAGAATAGCAAATTACTTACGAACGGGTAAAGTCTGAAATATCTCAATTTTACTGTATTCTCCTTGTCCTTTTCCATTTACAGCAGCAACTTTTATTTCATATGTTGTATTTGGTTCCAGATTGCTGAGAATAACTGTAGCTAAGAGAAAATGAAGAAAAACTTTATTTAAAATAGCATATTTTATGAGAAAAGGGATATATTAGGTGTAATGGTTCTGCTTCATTTATTTCACAAGGCTAACATCAAAGCTAGGTACATTAATTTTTATTTGGAAGAAAAGCTCTTGATTTCTGATTCTCATCCTAATGGGATGGATGTAGCATAGGATCTGAGATGTTGAATGGGGTGCAGTTCATTACATGCTACACTTTCCTTATCCCTATCATGTATTTCAAGCAATAATTTATTTCTTCACTCCTTTTGCTGAGATTTGGTTCCCAATCTCAGGTATGCTAATAGGTTTACAAACAGTTTGCCCCAATGAGAAAACAACTGGGTGGTGAAAGAAAAGAAAGAAAGAAGGTGGTTAAGCTCATGTAACAATGTGTTTATCACACTGAAGTTTCGCTAGATTTATATAATCACTATACTCTGAGAAAGAGATGCTGAAAAAAAATATCATAGTACTGTTGTAAAAATCAATCTTTCTTGGCATTTCTCTGTCAGAGAAGTTCTTTTTAAAAAAAGTAAAAATTGTGGGGTCTGGGAGAGCATTGCATTGAAAAGTTCAACTGAAAATATAGCATAAATTTACCACTGCCAAGGTTTACATCTACCATCAACCCAGACCATGCTATATTTTTCTATGATTCTATTGGCCCCGGAGTGGAATAAGAACAACTGATATTTATGTCTCATCATGTGCTAGCTGCTGCACATATTCTACTAAAATATTTCATGTGTCTTATGTAAAGTCATGTATAATTTATATTCTATTTCTGTCAAAATAACAACAAATAAATAACCACCAAGGGGAAAAGGAAGAAAGAACTCCTCTGGTAGTGAGATTACAAAAGCAGATACTTATTTAAAAAATTGCAGATTTGTAAACAGGAATGACTCAAAATGCATGACGTTTTTACAGATATTGTTCACAAAAATTATATATGCCTAAGAGCTATTTTTCTGGAAATCATCATATTAAAAGAGAAAAGAGGATAACTGTGCCCACAGTTTTTACCTGGTGGTCAAAATGTTATCAATATTCTTCCAAAGATAAAAAAAATATGCAATAATAAGTATGAATAATAGCTTCTGAAACTACTACTGAATTTCAACAAGCAAACAAAAAAATATTTATTTACAATATTAGTCAGTAGAAATGCTATTAGTTATTACCTGAATAAAACATATTCAAAATATGTGTTTAATTTATTACCAAAAATGATTTCTAAACAAAGTCCATGTTTATTTTTTAATACCATCTAGAGCAGTAGTTCTTAATAAGGACTTTAACACTCTCTAGTGAGCCATGCGGATGCCAAAGAGACTGAGGCTGCTGCATCAGGGCTGTTGTTGCTCTGAGCTTCTAGGGAATCTGCCTCCTGCTCTTCTCCAGACATGGCTGAAAATGTGTCAGGCAGGAGCATAACAGCATCGTCTGCCAGACAATTAATCAACCTCTAACCCATAATCTCTTTAAGGTTCTGAAAAGTGTTGAAAAGTAACTGAATAGATGAAGACAGGAAGACTTTTGGCATTCTCCAGTCATACTTTGTTATGATAGTCTTCTGCCTATCAGTCCTACCTAGTGCTGTTGCAATTCTTGCACTACAAGCTACAGATGATTCCTGCCCCCGCCCCTTTTCTTGGGCTACTGAGTCTTTTAGTTTGCCTCAAATGTTTTGGAGGGCTTTAGTTGTTTTGTATGCTGCAGTGTGATACTACCTGACTGCAACAATCTGTTGGTCGTTTCTAATATATTTTTGATATATATGAGTGTAATCCTTTTAATAAATTGCATTGGTCATACTATAGTGGGTTGTGTAGTCAAGCATTTTTTGATAAGTGATTTTTTTCCTCTTTCTGTTCCAGGTTGCCTGTGTTCATCTCAATAGCATTCTTAATAGCTCCTCTTCTAGGAGAATAAATAGTTAGTTTGGAAGTGAAACACTTGACTAGCATGTTTAGCTTTCCAATAGTCTTGGGTTTGTAGTTGACATTGTTTCCTCTGCTATTGAGGATATCCAGGAAGGGAAAATGTGTTGTTGTTTACTTCTTCTCTTGTGCATTTTATACCTTCAAATATATTTTTCATTGTTTCATTGGTCTTCTTGAGTTATTACTGTACTATGATAAAACTATTGTTTATAAATCTGATCTATACTTTTGATTGTATGTGTGGGAGTGATGTAGCTTCTAGAAACTGCATCATGTCTCTGCTATCAATCTGGAGATTGGTGATCTCACTCTCATTTATTACACTCTTATTGTAATAAATTGCTCAATTTGATTAAAATCATAAAAATCATTTTATATCTATAACCTCTGGCACCAAATCACAATCTTTAAATACTGTTTCAATTATAATATATGAAGAATGGTACAAAATGTTGATATTATCAATTTATATTAATTTGTCCATTTTACATATATAAAATCTTGAAATCTTAGAAATTTACAATATTTCTTGAATCAACTTTCTCAACCTCATTTTTTTGGGGGGGACACTCCCTACTTCTATACGTAATTGATATGTTAGTTATGATATATCAAACTGTTCTTTCAGGGCAAAGGCCTGTAAACTTTATCCTCTTTTTCACAACCAGAGATTGTATGAGGTAAGAAGCATAGAATTTTAGGCAATTTGTTTTTAATATAGTGGCCTCAGAATGTAGTCTGGCACCTTCTAGAAGACTGAACTGTTTTGAGACCTTTAACAGGTTGTTGTTTATTTGGTAGCTGCTTTATTGTGGTTGGTTTTTATTCCCATGCTCTACTTATCATTTGTTTTGTGTTATTTGTGTGTGTGTGTGTGTGTGTGTGTGTGTGTGTATGTGTACATACATATGTACACACACATGAGACTTATGATCTACATCATAAATTGGGTACTTTGTCACATTCCCTTGTTAATATTGTTCTATCTGTTTACACAGGACCAACATATACTTGTCTTCATTTGATTTAGTACCACTGCAAATAAGTAGGAAAAAGGAAAGCCCAGTCAATATTCCAAAATACATTATTAAATTCTGCATCACATGAGACAGAATATATTTTCATCTTTTTGTTCTGCAAATCATTTGCATATATGCAGTAACATTTCTTGCAACACAGTCTGGCAAATTATTTCTAGAAGTTGAATGAAATAGTGTATGCGAAGATAGAATTTTAAAATATTATCAGCAAATAACCCATAGTTAAATTCAATACTGGAACATTGTCCATGGGGTCGCGATGGGTCGGACACGACTTCGTAATTAACAACAACAAAAATTCAATACTATACTTCTAAAATAATATTTTCTTTTAAAATAATATGCAAATACATGTAACAATGAAGAGTGTTCACACATAGCATGGAAATGTTTGTAAATCCTTTAAAACAGTGGTTCTCAACGTTTGTGTGACGGAGACCCCCGTCACACAAACGTTCTGCGCATGCACGGTGCGGCACGCATGCGCCGCCCTGCCCCATGCCCCGCCCCCATGCGTGGCACCACCCCCATGCGCAGCGCGCATGCATGGCGGCGGCCCCCATGCATGGCGTGCATACGTGGCGGCGCCCGCATGTGCAGCGCGCATGCACGGCGCCGCAACCCTGAGGAGAAAATGGCGGATCGCCTTCTTTGGCGACCCCCGAAAAATGATCGATCGACCCCAAATGGGGTCGCGACCCATAGGTTGAGAACCGTTGCTTTAAAATATCTTATCATTAATGATACCATACAAGTAACATCTATGATCTGAAGGAAAAAGATCTATGATCTTAAAAGGAAAAAAGGAGAATATCATTTCCTAGGCACAGTAGAAATATAGTCCACTAGAATGCCTCCTGTTGAAAAGAATTTGAAATTTGAAAGACCTAATTGTTCCTAAAATATAAAAATATGAAAACTGACTAATTATTTTAAGATTCATTCTTTTTTTTTCTTATTGCAGACTTACTCTGGACTGCATGTGAAAGAACAACTTTCCATGTTTCTGAAGTGACTTCTTTTACATCTACTTGGTAATGATGAATTGGGACACCTCCATGAGAATCTGGTTTATTAAAAAATACTTTAGCAAAGGTCTGTGATATATCTACAATTTTCACTCCATGTGGACTGGATGGTACATCTGGAGAAAAAGAAAGAAAGAACATATAATAATATAACAAAATTAGGCAATATAAGGAACAATAAAGAGTATGTTATTTTGTTACATGGGGAAAACATTAAGAGTATTAAATAAGCAAAACTGATCAATACATTGAAGGGTTGAAAATGGGGTCTGCAGGAAAGTTAGCCTTTTTTGAGACTAAAACCCTTTGGATAGAAGTTTAATGCAAAATTGTATGCTAAGATTTACATATCTAGGTTCAACTTTGTGTTACCAAAAATAAATAAAATCCATACAATTATTTTTTTATTAATGCAAATTCTTCCAAACTTAAGGGGTTTTTTACATTTTATTTAACTTTTCCAAGATAAGTGTTGCATTCATTCATTTTGGCCCTTTTAAATTACATTTAAGAAAGTCAAGTAAATAAGGTTAAAACAATAGAATTTTATACTATAAAAGATTTACAGGAACAACATTAAAATAAATTACTAAAACTATTTTAACTTGGTATTTTTGATTGAAGAAAATCAAAGTATAGTAAATTCATTTTTTACTGTTATAGAATATTTTAGGATTTTTGGAAATTTTGGAAGATAAAACTGACAAAATAACAAAAATCTTTCAAAATATCTCTGAACTCAAAAGGAGGTTCCAAACTTGAATTAACATGCTAAAGAATTCCATTTGGTAGATGGTAATTGATTCAAAGAGATCAAAGAAAGATGGAGGAGTATAGAGAAATACTGTACAGCAGACGTCAACATCCAAGAAATCTTAGAAGATATTCCCTACTTATAAGAATCTCCAGTGTTAGAAGATTAGAAGATAAATCAGCACCTAAGTACTTACTAATTCTGAAGAATAATTAGTAAATCTATAATAAAATAATGCCAATAAATCTGGGGAATGACACATTAACCAACATATATAGTAGGAAGAGATCAAGTATACTGCCAATACCAAATAAAAGAGAGTGTGCAAACTATTATTATTAAAATAATGATACATTGTTATTTTTATTTTATAGAACTATTATTAAAATAATACAATCTTGAAACAAAACAATTATTAAAAATAAAGAACTATTCTAAGCCAGAGTGAGGACTCAATTAAGACATGTAAGGCCAATAATCCTCTGAAGACTCTAGAAGAACCCACTGCTTCATTATTCTACTGGCTGATAATTTATAGTCTTCCTCACATCTAACATGTCATTTCAACTCATTGGTTCTGGTCCACAGTGCAGTAAAGTATATGTACTTTCTACTGTTTTTGTGGCAACTCTTCAGTATTTGAAGAGGCAAGCATATATTACCTATAGCATCTTTTCCTAGATGGAAAAAAAAACTTCATCACTTTGATAATCCTTCTCTTAATTTTCTCCAAAATATATAGCTATGCTAACTATATTGTGGTAGAATAGTAAAAATAAATCTGTCTATGGCAAAATACAGTAGACAAATTACTTGCCATGATCTGAACTCTATGATCTGTATTTCAAGATAGTATTTGTCTTTTAGCAGTTACAACACATTGCAGGTTCATCTTTAATTTGTGGTAAACAGGGACATATAGTTCCCTTTTACATGTACTACTACCAAGCACATTATCTTATATTCTATTTCTTTGCCATAAATTGTTACCACATTGATAGAGATATATCATATACCTTCTATTTTTTTCTTAAATTCAGCTTCATTTATTAAACCTATTATCAAAGAAGATAGAGACTTCAGTCTTTTATCTAAAATATTAGTCATCTCTCCAAATTTATGTCATCTGCAAACTTTATAAGGGTTTCCTCAACTGCCTATCCAAGTCATTGATTAAAAAAAGAGAAAGTGTTGCGTGGAGCTTATGACAGAGTTCTACAGATTTAGTACTTTTCTCCAAGATGAAATGCAGCCATTAACTAGCATGCTTTGAGTGAGGTAATTCAACAAATTGTGAATCCATCTTAAGATGTTATCATCGAGGTCCCACTTTACTACTTTCTGAGGGAAAATATTGTGCTGTACTTTTTTAAGAACTTTGCTGAGGTCCAGGTATGCCATGTCTATAACATTCATCCAGTCTATCTCCTAATGTGTCAAAAAAGGAGACAGGTTTAGTCTGTTTTGTCATCTGTTTATGACAAATATGTGAGGCCTTCTTTTAGTTGTAGTATGCCTATACAAGTTCTCACAAACATTCTCTTCATAGCCAGTTTGATGACATTAGTAAGGTGACCAACTTTTTTACAATGAAAAGGAGGACACAAATAAATTGAAGAAAAAAATATCGTAAATAAAATAAACGTTTTATTCATTGCAACAATAATACAGACAACTTGCATGTGCAAAGTTTGCCAGCCGGGTGTTTTGGCGTGCTCAGCAGCAATTCCTATTGGATTTCGAAAGCCAATAGTGGGAGTAGCACAGCTCATGCAAAGGTTGAAAAAAAAACAACCATCAAAAAAGGTGCCGGAATGCCATTCTGAGCGTTCTGTGAGGGGGAAAAAAGCCCTGCAGATTAGTCTTCAAATATCGAAAAGGAGGACATGAAGGAGGACACTTTCTGAGGGAGGACAGAACTTACAAAAGGAGGACTGTCCTTCCTAAAAGATGACGGTTGGTCACCTTAACATTAGGCAATATAGATGCTAGGCTGAAAAATCTGTAGCTTCCTGGCTCCTCCCTTTTCCCCTTTTTGAAGATGGAAGATATTTGTTCCCTTCTTGCTTTTTGGAATCTCATGAATCCATCATGATTTCTCAAAGATAGTTCTGCTATTTCCTACAGTAATCTGGGATCGTGAATTCCTTTTAATTTGTCCAATTAATTAACCCCTTGCTTATTGTGTCCTTGCATCCTAAGATATAATCTATATGGCCTTTGAGTCTTGAATTCATTTAAATTTATTATCTCTTAAATACCTTCTTTTTGTCTATAAGAAAATTAAGAAAATTCTTCCTTCCCATCACCCATTACCAATTTACCACTTTTCTCCAGCAACAGATATTTATTTTCTCTTTATTTTGCTTTTCTTTCTAACATACATAACCCTTTATTTTTTGTTGTTTATCTGTCAGAAGCTTCACCTTATACTAAACTTTAGCCTTTCTGATAGAGTTGATATAATTTCTGGAACAATTTTGAATTCTTCTTTGGTGATGTTCCTCTTCTATTTCTTGTACATGTCCTTTTTCTCTTTAGTAGTTTAGTGAGTTCTATAAATATCAGTGCTACCTTTTTCATTCCTCTGGGATTATCTTTCTTCCTATGTGAAGAAAAATTGTAGTTTAAGTATCCTGTTTTAGAGGATTTCTCATCCTTTCTGGACATTTTTCTTCATTAGGATTTAAACTATTAAACTGAAGCAACTTTTCTGGGATTTCATCCCAAAAATCTCTTTGAACTGCAGCATGAAGCCCTGAGTCTTCTTAGTTTCTGATACCATAGAAAGAGGGGGACATGAAGATTGCATTACTTTTTGCAATCAGACATTCCAGTGGTGGGATTCAGCCAGTTTGCATCACTTCAGCAGAACCAGTAGCTGGGCCTGGGCAATTTTTTGTTGCCCAGGCCCAGAATGGACTTCTGGAAGCGGCATCCACACAGAAAACCAGTTGTTCACATATTTGAATCCCACCACAGAGACACCCCCTGGGCAACAGTGTTGTTACTGGCAAATACTTTAAATCCAAAAGCATCTTTAGTTAGCTTTGTAGGTATTTTTACACAAATACATACATACGATAGATTAAAAGATAATATGATCACTTTTTTCATATTTGAATCAGGTTGACTTATTCAACTAAGCCCTTAGTGAGTTTTAGCTCCCTGGTAGCAGATGTTCTTTCTTCTATCTTCTCAAAAATAAATTTGTCCAATAAGAATAAGAATTTGTTGGAGCCTTGTCTCTTAACAATGCTCAAGATAATCAATGTTCTCCAGTGTAATGATTATGTACCTCTTTGAAAACTGGTAATCTGCAGCAGAAAGGCTTTATTCATATTTTCAGAATGTCTAGATTCTCTGTAATGAACTCTTACTGTTAATTCACTTTTGTTTCTCTGAATCCTTTTACAACTTTAAACAAGTTTTCAGTCCAGTAGTTCTGAAATTTCTGAATAAATAGGAGTATGTGGATGGGTAGGTGCATATGTGTGTAATTTAGATATTCTGAGCCTGTTTGTTGGATCAATTCCTTTTCAGTATACTAGTACTGTGCTCTGGTATTCCAGTACTTTGTGCCAATCATCATCCCATAAAGTTTCAGTGGTGCTTCCACATCAAATTTGTCTTTCTGAATTAAGATAATTCATTATTATTTTGTTTATTTCCCATATTCTGTGTATCTATATATAAAGAAATCTGATGTACTTAATATCACCTATTGGTCCTCTTGTTGTAGCACCATCATGACCTCCTATTTCTTACTTGTGTTCTGCTTTGTTCTGTAATGACTTTGGTTGCACATTTAGCTCCTTTGTTCCAGTTTAATTTAATAAGACTGGAAAGGTCTCTGCCAAATACCTTGCTGTTTTTTTTAAAGGCATAACCATTTCCTCTCAGGAGTTCTTTGTGAAACTAAGACCATTGTGGTAGAATTCACTATCTTGTTGGTCATGCCACCTGAATAGCCAGTTATTGATTCAAAAATCTCCCTAAATTGGGACTGTTCCCATCTCCTTCATCTTTTGCCCTATGTCTCATGGTCTCCATATACTTTTTTCATTTCATACACCTCTTGCAATGTCGTATCAGTGTATTCACAACCATTTTGATTTCCCTCAGCAAGGAATCACCCACCACCACAACATGCTCTTCTTTATCATTGGTTTCTTCAGTCTATAGGCAGCTTTCAATTCATTCATATTTCAGATAGGACCATGTAAAAGCATTTGTTCTTTGAAATAAGAATAGGAATTATCATAGGGTAATTTTTTTCAATATTTACATTAAACTATGTGAAAACACCATCAGAAACTGAGGAGCTGAATTCTAACACATGAGGCTGTCTCGGTGACAGGTATGACTCCCTTAAATACCTGTGCGATTTCATAATAGGCATTTGAAGGAAAATAAATTGAAATTATATTTTAAAAAGGTGGATTAAAAATGGAGGGCATTAAGGGGTATGCTATCATGGATTTTGTCTTTACCAACAAATAAAAGTTTGAGTATAATAAAATAAATAAAAATGCATAGTTAAACTTCTTGATTTCAAAACATTTACTTAAAAAAACTCAAAGATATGGATATTTGAATGGCTGGTTTCAATAAACTAATAGAATTAGTGAGGAATTTATTCTTTAAACAAGTTTTATTAAATTTTCAGTTTTTACATCAAAGTAATTAGGAAGCAGCATGGAGGGGCAACCACCGCTGAGGAGGACACTTGTTTGATGGCGGAAGGGTGGCAGCCCTTCAATTTGATCCGAGGCAGCTCCTTTGGATCAACGAAGAAAAGATCGGCCATTACCTAGCCGTACCAGCTGAAAGCCAAAAGTACTATTAAGCACAACAAAGCACCGTGGAAGATCTGGATGAGACCCTTTTTTACCTCTCTTTTACCCTAACCTTCCTGTGAAAGCCTCATGAAACTTCTTCCCCGCTCTTAATATAGTGGCGTCTGTATACCTTGGGAATCTAAGCTTTGGAACAACAACAAAAAAAGAATATCTAATTTTAATAATTAAATAACTGGATTTTTATTCTTTCTCCATTTTTTGAGGAATTTATTCTTAAAGGAAAGATATTACAGTTGGCTGGGCCTTCTTATAAGAGAAGTTAAGTATAAAGCATTCTGCAACTATATCAGTGAGGAAAAAAACCATCCAAAAATACAATCTGAGTGGATATACAGAATAGATTCAGGAAGGAGTTGAGATTAAAGACAATGCTTATTGGAATGGAAGGATAATCTAATTACCAAGATTGTTGATAACTCTTCAGCTCAGAAATGTAGAAATTAGGTCAGGAAAGCAAAGGTGTAAAAATGAGCTAAGAAGAACAAGAGAAGCAAAGTCCAGCAAGATTTTCTTCAAATATACTAACAGCAAGAAGAAAACAAATGATGTAGTGATATCATTGCTTACTTTAAATAAAAACATCTTAACAGAGCACCAAGAGAAAGCAGAAGAATTCAACTCTTTTTTTTTTTTTTTTTGGCCTTTGTCTTAGCAGCCAGAAGAAGTGGTGATATGATAGATCAGATTGTAAACAAATGGAACAGGGGAAGGGAACAGTCTGTAAAAATGTGATGAGAAAAATTTTAGATAATTGGAATGTGTTCAAAACATTAGGTCCTGATGAAATGTACATTGAAATAATGAAATGGCTGAATACCATTTCAGTCTGTCAACTAACTTTAAAAGATCGTTGAAAAATTAGGATACCAGGAAATTGGAAAACAATAAATGTGTTTCCCCTTCAAGAAAGGGATGGAGCTTAATATAAATATTTGGAAAGTTTTTAAGATATTTCTGGACAGCCACATCTTAAGGATGATTTAACTTATCTCCCAGTTGCACTAATGATGTTCCACCATTTTTTAATTCTCTGGTGGTTTTTATTACTAGATAACATAATGCCAGAGAGATGGTAAATCTGCCTTTTCTTAATGAGATTACATTCCTCCAAAAAGAAAGTACTCAGTTGGGAGATGCTTATAAACTCAAATCTTTCTTTGATTATCCAGACTGAATCAATAGCCAAGAGTGCCTTCTATTAATTTTAGATGATATAGTAACTGTATTCCTTTCTGGAATAAATTAACTTTAAACCTTGTACACATGTTGGTAACCTCTAAGATTGCCTAAGGCAATGTAGTCCACATGAACCTGTCTTTTTGTGGAGTTCATGAACTTCAGCTGGGACAAAAAAGTAGGTCTTGGATAAAATTTAAGGTGACTATATGCATATACATATATTATTAAAGCACTTCATTAGATGTCAAACTGTTCCCAAGTAAACAACATGTGTTGATTATTGCTTTAAATTTATATGGTCCAGGTATTTCAGAAAATGTCTCTTTCTAACTGCTATGCTTACTAAGATCATCTAAGTGATTCAACTACAGTTGATACAGGTTTCTCTGATGGTGACATGGAATCTGTAAAAAAACTGTAACTGTAACTGCCAGTGGGGGTATGAACTGATTGGGTGGGAGCTTGGCTGTGTTCTGATTGGGTGGAGGTGTGTTCTGAATGGTTAGGGGCTTGGCTGTGCTCTGATTGGCTGGGGGAGTGTTCTGTTTGGTTGTGCTCAGGTTAGTCTGAGTTGCAGAGGGGTTTAAGATTTTGGGCTGCCTTGCTATTTTCTGAGCTGAGCACCCTATCAGTTCATACCCCCACTGGCAGTTAAAAGGAAGAAACAGCTAAGACCACACATTGCTGCTCAAAGCACGAAGCTGAAAACACCAGCCTGAAGATGACGAATGGGACTTCGTCGAAACGTCGCCAAGACACTTCCAGTTTTACGCGGAAGAAACTCGAACAACCAAAGACCTGCATACAAATACCCGCGAAAACCTCAGAAAACATATATATATATATATATATATATATATATATATATATATATATATATTTAAAGTTTTAAAGTTAATTTATTCCCAAGGAGCTAAAAGACTTAAGTTTTATTACCTTTTAAAAAATTATATAACTACATAGTTCTGAATTATTATTTTTTTAATATTTTACTAATTTCTTTTTAATTGTTTTAAAGTCTGGATTTAAACTTGTTTTTATCATAAATGTGAAACAGATTACAGTGTTCTGCAGCATATTAAGGTATGTAAATATATAAACACTGGTTTTATAGATCGTGGATTATATATATTTTTATTTGAAGGACACAGGAAACAGAGAGCTGAGACAGGAAATGAAAGGAGAGGAGAGAAGTGAATACTTATCTTGTAGATAGCTATAATCTCCAAAATATGGAAGGTTAGACTTAGTTTGATATTTGGCCTTGTTGAGAAACTTTTAAAATGATATTTTACATTCCTTTTATTAATTTTAGTACACTAAAATAGATGCTATTTTTTAAAGAATAGAAATGATTTTTTTATCTTCCAAGATATTTTTATATAAATAAATTACTTACCAGCCAAGGCAAGGATATATTCTTGATATCTTTTCCCTATTCTATTTGTGGCTGTACAATTGTAATGTCCAAAGTCAATTTCAGATGTGGGAGCAATCTTTGTAGAAAGAAGAGAGGGGAAGAAAGAAAAAGGGAGAGAGAGAGAGAGAGAGAGAGAGAAAAGCATGAATCAGTCTGTATGTAAAATTGACAGATCTGAATCATATACATATAATCTTTAAATATAATCCATAATATTTTTCATGTGACCAGCAATACTGTAAATAATAGGGGGTTCATAATTAACAATTGTAATCCTCACTAGAATTGTTTGAATTGACTAGAGATGGGGGCCATAGATGTGATACAAAGCTTTAATCATGCATTTCCCAACTTTCTTTTTTTCCACTGTAGGCACTTTTATAGAAGAAAAAAAAGGGGGTGGGGGGGTGGGAAAGGTTTGTATGAAGCCCTGTACGGATTTTCTGAAAACTGAAATTACACATGGAATACTATTCTTTAATCTTTTTTCCTTTCTAGAATAAAATATTTGATAAAGAAGTAAACAAGTATCTATCTCAAGTAAATGATAACTGGTAAAATATATGCCTGAATTTTTAGTAAATAATATTAATATATTTAGGGTGATGAGGAGGAAAGTATCTTGAATAAAGAAAGTACTAAGTTGTCACCAGTGGTGGGATTCAGCCAGTTTGCACCACTTCGGCAGAAATGGTAGCTAATATTTTGTTGCCCAAGCCCAGAATGGATTTCCAGAAGCGGCATCCACACAGAGAACCAGTTGTTCACATATTTGAATCCCACCACTGGTTATCACTGAAAGCTTACCTCTAATATCAATTTGCTTTCACTACCATGAGTCTTTAAATGAGTTGTATTTTCTACAGGTAAAACCAGTTTTCCTCTTCTCCACTGAATAGATGCTGCTGGATTAGACAGAACATCACAACTTATGTTGATAGGATTTCCTTCCCAAGAATAATAAATTGTTTGATTTGACACAAAGATTGGAGCATCTGCAACACATATTTATAAAAGCATATTATTGCTTTGTCTTAATTAAAATTATATTGATCAGTTTAATAAATATATGTCAATTATTTAGATTTATCAAAACACTGTTTTAGAAACTTATGCACATCCTAATAATATATGAAATATATAAACCAAACATTTCAATTATAATTATTACTTTTATAATATAACAAAATTAATTTCAGATGGACAAAATCCTATCTATAATGGTGTAAACTATTTAGATCAGCAATACTTTAACTGTGAAAACCATTAAAATATATAGCAATTAAAGCATTTAATTTGCACTTTCCACAAAAAACTTTTCTGGGAGTAATTATTAATGCATAAGAGCATCTATTTGTCTCAAACACATCAAAACCATGAAAAAGCAGGCTGATTTATTTTTTTTCAGGCATACATTTTCTATACCATATTTGTCTGTTATTTTGTTAAATTCTCAGAGGTTAAGTATTTTGTTTATCTTCTCTGTGGTCAATGACTGCTATTTTTATAGCATTTCTGATGCTGATTTTTCCTAGTTTCAGATATGGATAGATAGATAGATAGATAGATAGATAGATAGATAGATAGATAGATAGATAGATAGATAGATAGACAGACAGACAGACAGACAGACAGACAGACAGACAGACAGACAGACAGACAGACAGACAGACAGACAACCTTTATTGTCATTTTTTACTGTGGGCACAATGGCACACATTAAAAATGAAATTCAGTTGCTTGCTCTCAAAGTGTACACATACATAACACACATTTAAACATACTATATACACCATATGTATAGACTTATATGCTTACATATAAATAACATATAAATATTAATCACTGTCCATGGATGTTAATGGAAGGAAGGAAGCTTTAGAGTTCACAAGGTTAATACTGTATGGAACAAAACTGTGACTGCATTTGGATGTTCAACTTTGGATATGACAAAGCCTCCTCCCCGAAGGTAACAAAGAAAACAGGTCATGAAGAGGATGTATAGTGACCCAGACAATCGTGTGAACCTGCTCAAGCAATGCTTATATGCTATGTCCTGGATAGAAGGGAGGAAACTGCCAATAATATCTTCAGCTATCCTCACCACTCTGTGTGTGTGTTTGTGTGTGTGTGTGTGTATTAGTAAACTCTGGGATGTAAAATATTTTACATTCCAGAGTTCACTAATTTTATTGATTCTTAAAGAAAATGTTTACACCTGAGATTCAAATATTCAAAATAATCAAAGATATGTGTGTGTGTGTGTATTTAGTTTATTTATTTATTAATAAAATTTATATGCCGCCCAATCCCTAGGGACTCAGGGTGGTGTACAAAATTAAAACAATAAAAATAACAATAAAAATGAGGACATTCACACAGCATGTCCCAATCGTATCCCACCATCACCCCCCAGGACATCAACCCCAGGCCTGCCGGAACAGGAGAGTTTTAATGGCTTTCTTAAAGGCTGGCAAGGTGGGAGTAGTTCAAATCTTGGGGTGAAGTTGATTCCACCATGTCAGAGCCACCACAGAAAAGGCCCTTCCCCAAGGGCCCACCAGCCGACATTGTCTGGCCGACGGGACCTGAAGGAGGCCCAATCTGTGGGACCTCACTGGTCTCTGGGAACTATGCGGCAGTATGCGGTCCTGTAAATAACCTGGTCCTAAGCCATGAAGGGCTTTAAAGGTGACAACCAACACCTTGAATTACGTCCAGAGACCCACAGGAAGCCAGTGCAGCTTATGGAGGATAGATGACATGTGGGTGTACCTTGGTGCACCCACAATCACTCTAATGGCTGCATTCTGAACCAACTGCAGCCTCCGAACGCTCTTCAAGGGTAGCCCCATGTAGAGCGCATTACAGTAATCCAGTCTTGAGGTGACAAGGGCATGAGTAACCGTAAGTAGAGCCTCCTGGTCCAAATAAGGCCGCAACTGGTGCACCAGGCGAACCTGGGCAAAGGTCCCCCTGGCCACAGCCGATAGATGTTGTTCCAAATTTAGCTGTGAGTCCAGGAGGACACCCAAGTTGTGTGCCTGCACTGAGGGAGGTAAATTTACCCCCCCAGGACTAATGATGGACCATCAGAATGACCCTTGGGGGGCAAGACCCAGAGCCACTCGGTCTTGTCAGGGTTGTGTCTAAGCCTGTTCACCCCCATCCAGACCCTCACATCTTCCAGGCACCGGTATATCACATTGACTGCTTCACTGAAAGGACACGCGGTGGAGATATATAATTGGGTATCATCCGCATACTGATGATACCTCACCCCGTGTTGCCGAATGATCTCACCCAGCAGTTTCATGTGGATGTTAAAAAGGAGGGGGGACAGGACCGAGCCCTGAGGAACCCCCATAATTGAGACACCTAAGGGTCGATCTCTGTCCACCCGCCAACACCGACTGCGACCTGTCAGAGAGGTAGGAGGAGAACCACCACAATATGGTGCCGCCCACCCCTACCTCTCTGAGACGACGCAGAAGGATACCATGGTTGATGGTATCAAAAGCCGCTGAGAGGTCAAGAAGCACCAAGATAGAGGAATGACCCCTATCCCGGGCTTGCCAGAGGTCATCGGTCAGTGTGACCAAAGCAGTCTCAGTGCTGTAGCCGGGCCTGAAACCAGATTGAAAAGGGTGCAGATAATTCGTTTCATCCAAGGATCGCAAGAGTTGAGACGCCACCACCTTCTCTACAACCTTCCCCACAAAGGAGAGGTTGGAGACAGTTCTTCAAATTAGCTCGGTCCAGGGAAGGCTTCTTGAGGAGGGGCCTCACCACCGCTTCCTTCAAAGGTTGCGGGAAAGACCCCTCCATCAAGGAGGCATTGATTATCGCCTGGAGCCAGCCTCGTGTCACCTCCCTACTGGCAGAAATCAGCCAGGAGGAGCACGGGTCCAATAAACAGGTGGCGGCATTCATCGCCCTCATGGCCTTATCCACTTCATCAGGGGTCACAGGCTCAAACTCGCTCCAGATAACATGACTAAGACCAGCCCCCGGCATCTCGGCTGGCACTGCCCAGTTGGAGTCCAGGTCCCTCTGGTCTGAAAGAAACTGAACAAACTCCTCAGCTCTCCCCTGCAAGGGTTCCTCTGCCTCCTCCACTTTAAGAAGGGAGCGAGTCACCCTAAACAAGGCAGCCGGGCGAGAGACACAATAAGTGCGGAAAAGTGAACATGCTTTGCCGCCCTTATTGCCACTAAATAAGTCCTAAGATAGGCTCTTAATAATGATCGGTCAGATTCAGAGTTACTGGCCCTCCAACGTTGCTCTAGATGTCTCTTGTGGCGCTTCATGTCCCGGAGCTCCTCAGTAAACCAAGGTGCCCTCCGGGGACCACTACCACAGAGAGGTTGCAAAGGCGCAATTCAATCCAGGGCCCTGGATGCTGCCTGATTTCAGGCCGCAACCAGGGACCCGGACAAATTGTGGACAAGGGAGTCAGGTATTTCCCCAAGCTCCTCCTGGAACCGATCTGGGTCCATTAGGCACCTGGGGCAGAACCACCTAGTCGGCTCCATCTCCTAGTGGTGGGGGAGTGATGCTCTGAAGTCCAGCCCCAATAGGAAATGATCTGTCCATGACAAGGACAGATCTCTATGTCTTGAGTGTTTTTTGATGCACCCTGTCAGCCCAAATATTGGAGGAAGAAATCCCAGTTCCCCTTTAACTCTTTATTAGCAATCCAAAAAAAATATTTATATATATATAATTTTTGTGAATTATGGAACTGTTGATGTTGCAAAAATAAAATAAATAAAATAAAAATAAAATAAAATAAACAGAAGAATAAAGACAAAAGCAGCCTAGAAAGAACATACACAAAGATGGAATACAGATTGTGATTAAATTTCACTATCTAGTATGAGTTGAACTCATTCTAGTACCTAACTTTTTCAGGGCAAAATAGGGAGCCAACTATGATGACAATGTGCTTAAAGTCAAGTTCCAAAAATATATATATGATAATGCTAAATTTGCATTTGTTTATGTATTTTAATGGCTGTTTGTAGGTTGGAAATAGAAATATTTTGAAATAATTATAACACAGGCTAGCGTAGGGATTTTGGGATTTAAATTGAACAGAACAGATTCTCTCATACCTGTTATATCCAGTCATGAGCAAGACCTTTTAGATGACTTATTAGGGGGATAGTGAAGTAAACAATGCAACAAAAAAAGCATTAATAATATTTCCACTGACTTTTCTCTATAGACTTTTTTCTCTATTCTACCTTCTAAAATTTGAAAAGAAAATGAAAGTATAAAATTATGTATTAACACCTTCTTAATCCTGATGTAAGATATTTAAATATCTTGAATCCAATAAATAAAATAAAAGTCACTGAATCAAATGTACTATATTGAAGCACCAATTTTAGCAACACATTGAATTATTACAATTTTGGCATATAAGACACTATTATAACAGTTAAATTGCAGTGTTGTCATACTAATATGACAAGTAATTCAAAATGAGTACAAAATAAGCAAGGTCAAAGTAGAAATAGACAGAATCATAGTTATAACAATAATATACCATATTATTTATTTCTAGGCCACATACTGAAAAGTAGGGGGAGGAAGGGAGGCAGTAATAGTATCCTCACTCTTAATTGGAAGATGAAAACTGTATTTTGAATTAGCTATACTTTCAAAATAACCTATTCTCAATTCAGAGCATGAATTACTAAAATTAAACCATTCTGCCCATGAAAAATAACAGCTAATAACTGTGAATATGATCATTTAGGTGGCTAAACCCAATCTAGAACATACTGAATATATATTCTTCTCATTTTGTTTTAATTATCTTTAGATTATTGCACTGTTTCATTTCAGTTCATTACTGATCCCAGTCATCAAGTTAAAAAGACTCTTATTTCAGCTTAATAAAATATGAAGGACAATAGGAGAGTAAAGCTTTGTGGTCTAGTGGTTAAGGCACTAGTGTATTAAGCTGGAAATCATGAGTTCAAGTTCCAGCTTAGCCATGAAAGCCAGCAGGGTTATTTTAAGCCAATCATTCCATCTCAGTCCAACCCACCTCACAAGGTTGTTGTTGTGGGAAAAATAGGAAAAAGATATGTTGAATGGGTTCACTGCCTCGAGTTGTTTGTAAATATAATAAAGTTGGGATACAAATAAATAAATAAGACTTTAAATGCTAGTCTACAGATACCATGAGCAGAATCATGGACCTGTCTCCAGCACTATTTTCTGGATTTGGTATCTTTCAAGGGAACAAAACCATAGAAAACAATCTACTCCATAAATGTAAAAAAGTGTAAGAAGAAAATATACAGTAATACAAGAAGAAAAAAATACCTTCAAAGGAAGATGAACTGGAATTTAAAATGACACTCCCCCCCCCCCACAAAATGCAATGCAATATGCAATGATACATATTCAAATTTGCCAATATGCTTTCTAAAATACAGAGCTCCAGGATGAGTACAAAACACTTGGAATGATCTGACTAACATTGACTAGAAAGGAGCAGCAGTTATTTTTTATTGATTTCAATACTATATTTCTGTCAATACAACAATGATTGCATTTGCTTTTTTTCATTTAGATCATTTATAGATCTAAATTCAATTATAATATATGAAGACACTCAGATATTTTTCATTATACTATTGCCATAAGGTTTTCCCCATCACTTGAATTTTCACAATCACTTAATTTTGAAATTATTTGAGTGGTTTCTCTCACTTATTATACCTTACCAAAACTGTCTTCTCCTACTCACCATCCTCTGCCTCAGTGTCTATTATAAATATGATAGTCATATTTTCTGTCAGTTTAACCAAGAACCAAGTCAGTTAAACTATGTTGAACAGCAGTGGATATCTAAAAAAACCTTGGTGTGCAACCAAGCACATCACTCAAGTTTAATGCAGAACCATTGCTGCCATATTTGTTGAGCATAACTCTTCAACTAGCTGTATATTTATATACTAGTAGAGTCATCATTTTGGCATTTTTTCCACTACGTTTTACTGGAGTTGTCACCAAGTGCTTGTTGAATATTACGCACACTTCATTCCCATTGTTAACTAGTGACTCTATCAAAAAGTATCATATTTGCTTGACATAATTTATTTCTGATGAATTAATTCATGCTAGATTCTGCAAGACAACACATACTTTTCTAATGTTCTGAAATTGCAACCCAGTATGATACTACATTTTGTCTAATATTAAATCAGTTCAGCAATCTGTAATTACTTTGACCCAATTTCCCCATTTTTGCAAACAAGAATATTTGCCCTCTAGCTTTGGGTTCATCCATAATTTTTCAAAAAGTTTGGATAATACCTGAAAGCTATTAATAGCTTTAATTAATATTGATATTAATATTGACAAAAAGTGTCTCAGTATTCTAAATAGCTCTCCCATTTTTTTTAGTACTATGTTTCACACTATTGTTTGCCTCCTTTGCTAGATTCAGTTTAAAACCTGCAGATCAGGTTTGCAAGACACCTTCCAAGCTATTATATAGTTCTTGTAAGATGTTGCCAGCCTTTTGCCAAGAGTTCAGTATTTTACTTGGACTATTTTATTATTTGTATGTAGTATGATCACAGTTTTTTATTTACCTAAAAGTAATATTTATAGTAGAATTGTGCAAATAATTTAAATGAAGAATTTCACAAAGTGTGTTAGCATTCTGAAATGTTAAAGTAGCCTAAAGTTCTGTAACTTCATTGAAGGATTGCACTTGAGGTGAAGGGCAAAAGAGCTTTCAAAACAGCATGACTTTAATTCACGAAGGAGTGCTTCACTTAAACCATAAGACTGGCGAAGCATACATTTTTTTAAAATGCTACCCTTAATTGGACATCTTTGTCAACCAGCATTCAAAGTAGGTATGAAACCAAGAATATATTACTGCCCCTGATATATGACTTGTGTGAAACTTTTTATGTCTTCCTTTGTTTTTCCTTCTGAAGAACTTTTTTGGTGAGCATTGGGTTGAAAGTCTTAATTTAATGTAACTTGCTTATTTCATTCTCAGTATTTCCAAAGGTTTTTTTTTTAATTGCAGCCATATCATGTAATAGCTTCCATTAAAAAAAGAGTAGGCCACCAACCTTTAGAAAGATACATAGCTAGAGGTCCTTGATAATGATTGAGAAACTTCCTAAAATCAATTTTCTAACATATATTAATATGAAGACACTTTCAAACAGAATTACAAGAATTGAATTAATTTCCCATTATCTTTTCCCTTTCATTTAAGACATTGGTGCTGCTATAACAACATGAACTTGTCTTGAAACAGAAAGCCTAATTTAAAATTAAGTAGAAGAGCCAGCTTCTACTGGCTCTTCTGTCTGCTTTAAATATAGAATTATTAAAGTAGATTATGTGTATGTATGAAAATGTGTCTATGTGTTTGTAGTATCCAACTTTTGCCTGACTTGTGTGCTTATTACATTTGAATTCACAGGTCTACTTTTGGCTTTTGGAATCCTAAGATATATGAAGAGTGCATATGTCACTAAAACGATAGGACATAAGAATTACAAGCTGAAAACCAACAGGTACAGAACTCATGTTACAAAGAACTTTATCCACTTCACTAGACTCATCAGATCTCAGGTAATATTGTTAGATGTTGTCCCATTATCTTAATAGACATAGACATGTAGAATTCAAATCTACAAATAGAAAGAAAGAAAGAAAGAAAGAAAGAAAGAAAGAAAGAAAGAAAGAAAGGAAGGAAGGAAGGAAGGAAGGAAGGAAGGAAGGAAGGAAGGAAGGAAGGAAGGAAGGAAGGAAGGAAGGAAGAAAGAAAGAGAAAGATTATCAGCAAAATATATAGCAAATGCTAGTCATTTATATTTGCTTTAAATCTTCCTGCCCAACATTTTCCAACAGGAAGCAGTTTTTCTTTATCTGTTATTCATGATGAATAATGGCTGATAAATACAATTTTTATCATTGCAGTGCAATCCCAAAGAGGAACTCTTATGTTCTGTCATATCCACGCTTGGCTTTTCAGACTGATATTCTAGGTTTTGCAGCTTTTTCTCCAAAGAATATGCCAGAAACAGTGATTGCAAAGATCTATTTGGGAAGAAGTCATGTACAGTTCCCTCACTCCCACTGACTTCCAAATAACAATGAGGTCTAGAAACTCAGAAAGCAATTTTGTTGGACAAGAATATGATAAATGTAAGAGCAATGATCCTAACTTATCATTGCTGGGAAATATCACACTGCATTATGTGTTAAGAGGTCTACATTCCTTTACAAAGAAATATACAAACAAAGAAAAGGGATATGAAAATTGCAATTCATACGAAATGTGGTTATTTATGCCTGCATATACAGTGTTATAGTAGTAGGGTACACACACACACACACACACACACACACACACACACATGTATATATGTGTGTGTGTGTGTGTGTGTGTGTGTGTGAATTTAATAGCTTTAGGGGGGAAAGTATGCCAAATATATACAGTATGTTTAAAGTAAATATATGTTTATGTAACCCTCTCTAATGCTGTACGATCAACACTTTAGTATGTACCTTTATTTACTAATTAATAAGGAGATTGATTTGAATTCAGGGATACACACCCAATAGCCCACCAGCTGTATGCTGTTTTCCTCCCAACTTTGCCTGATATATACAATGACACTGAATTTTAGCAGCAAAAAGGATACATTTTAGTGGCACAATTTTTTTTTTTAAAAAAAAATAGAGAACATCCATTCTTACTCCAATAATGTTTGCTCATTTGTTTTAAGCACAAAATCTTATTGAAACAAAATTTATCATGGCATTTTTGTTTTAGGATTATAAAGGCCTTCCATTTGCTTCTACAGCTTTTGGTAACTGGTCACAGAACCATTTAAATGTAAGTCCATAAATACAGGTAGTCCTCGACTTACAACAGTTTGTTTAGTGACCAAAGTTATAACGGCATTGAAACATGTGATTTATGACCATTTTATTATATTTATGACCGTTTTGGCATTCCCGTGGTCATGTGATCAAAATTCAGATGCTTGTTGCAGTCTCTTGAGGTTATGTGATCACCTTTTGTGACCTTCTGACAAAGTCAGTGGGGAAGTCAGACTCACTTAACAACCATGTTACTAATTTAACAATTATAGTGATTCACTTAACAATTGTGGCAGGAAAGATCATAAAATGGGACAAAATTCACTTAACAAATGTCTCACTTAAGAACAGAAATTTTGGGCTCAATTGTGGTCGTGTGTCGAGGACTACTTGTACAACACAAACTGTAAAGTCCTTTCTTACTAATATATTTAGAGGGGACAAAAATATCTAACTTACATTCAATATCAAGATACATGCTCTTTTGATGTCCTCCAATTCTACTCGCAGCTTCACAGTCATATCTCCCCCAATCTGTCAATTTCACATCTTTAATGTGTAGTGATGATCTTCCATGTTGTCCTCTGACTTCTATTCGACCATCTGGACTCTATTTGTAGAAAAAAAATGTTAAGATTAACAATTGTAGAATTGTTACATATGACTTCACAATACCTATTTTATAAATTCTTTGTAATACACACCTAATGCATAAAATAAGTATTAGTAAAAAGAAATCCTGTAGATACGAAAAAAGAAAAAAAAAGGATTTGCCCATAGGACTTAAATTATTCCCTAAAGTATTCAATCTTTTATCAACCTGAATATATGTACAATATGCCATTTGTTACATATTATGCTTATGACAATTTTGGTGGATTGATTTTTACATGTGACACTTGAATATATTTTTGTCATGCATCACAAATTCATATGGCATCTATCAATATGCTCTACATGAAGCAATGAGAACAATTAATTATTTAAATATACTTTTATTACATGAATTAAAAATAATATTTTATTAAAGAACACTTTTCTGATTATAGATCATAGAATACTTGACATTATTTTTTAAAAGTTTGGTAAATTGCAAGGCATTCGCAGTGTAATTAATATATCTAGATACAGAGTCGGTATTGGACATTGTTAACAGAAATTGTTCTGTACATCTGAATATAGCCACTATATATGGTTAGAAATCCATTACTACAAGAACTATTGTTTATATATCATTCCTTAGCCTATTAAAGATAAATCTTTAACAAATTATAAATACAGAATTGATTGGCCCAACAGCAAGTAACCTAGTTATTAATATATTATATCATTAAAAGCATAATCATTATTTTTAAAAAAAAAACAACCACAAAATGGATGTTTATCAGCTTTGTAGACTGAAAGTATTTACCAGGCAAGTGATTTAGAGCTACCATTACAGGTAGCCCTCACTTAATAACTGCAATTAGGATAGACATCTCCATTGCTCAGCAAAATAGTCATTAAGTGAGAATTCATATAATCATGATAGACTTACAATCTCAGTTCCGCTGTGGACAATAAGTGAAACATCATGTGATCCCAACTTGGCACAATCAAGATCCAAAACCCATTGATTGTTTAGGTTTGAAATGAAACAAAACCCACATAGAGTAAACACTGTAAAGTTGTTATTAATTGCCCTTTCTCTCATCTTATGTTAGAAACTGCAGTGGAAACTGTAGTGCTCTACCCTATTATCCTAGCATCTTCTCTTGCTTACCTGCATTTCATTAGTGACCAATGTTTGTGTGTGTGTGTGTGTGTGTGTGTGTGTGTGTGTGTGTGTGTGTTTTGCTAACCTTTAAACCATTTCTTTCCAAAACAAAATGCCCCATCTATTCTATGCACAGATTAAATGCCCTGGAAGATTCAGGCACAGAACAACTGAACCTGCTAGTCAATGCACAAAACAGTTTGTGCACATAAAATTCTGAATATCCCTAGGTAGAAAAAGACAAATATATAAATCTTTGATAGGTTGTCTACATAATAATAGTTAATGCAATTTTATAAGCACTGTAATTACAGTATAGAATCAGTTCTACAATTCATTATCTGCCATCAGGTCAATGCCAACTCTTAGTAACTTACAATATTTCCAGAAAACCACTTTACATATTTATAGCTCAACATTTCAGCAAACACACTTTATTATCATCTATGGCATATTAATACATTACAGGCAATTATTATTTTGGTTTCTCTAAACATTTTTTTAGAAATACAATACATGTAATATTAATTGTCAGGTAAGTTTAGAATCTACTCTTTAAGCATGGAAATTGGTGCACTCTTTTACTGCAATGAATCAAATTTGTAAGAAAAAAAATAAATTTCTACATAGGTGTATTTAAATTAAAAATATTGGCAACCAAAGATCCCATTGCCCAATCCCTTATATTAATGGGCCTCTTTGCAAAAGAGCCTTGCTATTTGGTTTCTTCCAGAGGAAGTTGTAATTATGGAATTTATTCATTTTAATAAAGCATCTCATTCTGGAAGTATCTTTCCCTTTTATCGTTGCATAGTTATCTTTGCTGTAATGTCTATACTATATTAATGCATTATAAGAAAACATTATCTGGACAAGGTTATTAGTGCCTTCACAATAGTATTAGTGGGCCATCAAAGCATACAAATATATGGATTGCCCACCACTAATCAACAGCAAAGACATACAGAAAATTCTTTCTTGATCTCTAGTGGTTTTATGGATTTTAGCACTTAGATTTAGTATGGGTGGCAGAGAGAGATTGATAAATAACAAATAATATGTATATTTCCAAGAACATAAAAGATAGACTCTAACTTCTTTCAGTGTTTTGTCAAAATTTGTGACCCCAATAAGAAAAGTCACTTCCTTCCAGTATGGTAATTTTACTTTTTTATTTCAGTAATAGCCTCAATTAAAAATACATTTTTGCCTTTTTTCACTTCTAGTCTATTGAAATATGCATAATTTTGTAACTCAATCAAAGTGATGAATGTCCTTCCGTCATCATATATAGTTGTTCAGTAGGCAGATTTTTCATTTTGACTGCAACATAAGAATAGCTCAAAAAGTAATTCTTTTTTCTTCTGCTTCGATATAATATTCTCTGCAGATTTCAGTGGATATTAATTGGATTCTTCTGGTAACAGTATTATATTGTCCACCAATAAGAATCTGCAGGAAACTGTATTATTCCTGTCTAGGAACATGATTCTTTCAACAGAAACAACATTTATTGTGTTTAATTTGCTCATGAGAAACATCAGATAAAATATGCTAGTATTCGATTTTTACTTTTTTAACTTTCTTTACTCATTTGTCATAACATTTTCAAATACACTTCTTTTGGCTTAGATTTAGAGAATGCCATGTGTCACCAGCCATAATGACAGGAAATAAATTTATATTATGTACAATACTACCATTTCTCAAATGTAAGTTGCAAATCATAAGATTGGTAGCTTTGTGGTATTTATAACATCCACCAAATAAATATTCATTAACTAAAGTAAAATAATTTAATATCTAAAACATTGCTATTAAATATAGATGGTAGGAGAGCCAAAGCAATATGATGCCTTAAATAAAAATATACATTATTATCACTGTTATTATTTAGTTCAACCACTCTTTCACAAGCAAATAAAAGGGAACTATCTCTGAAAGTCAAGTATATGCTACATTTATGCATTGAGGAGAATTTGTATCACTGGATTTCAAAATAAATTTGAATCCTTAACAGAGTATACTATCATTGTCTTTGTAACCTATCAATTTGTCAAGGAATACATTACTTGAAGAATTAGTATCCATGGGACAGATGAATAAATAAGTACTGTTACTTATAAGTCACTCAGGCTTCAAAATTATACACAAGGACTTTCACCTTAAACAATGAGCTAGTTCTTCAGTAGCAGAAAAGCAATGGAAACAGAAAATGCTATCTGAACTGAAGGCATTATTAAAATTCCAGTGGTTGAAACAATTGGTCAAGATTTCCTAGGATGAAAAGCTACCTTTGATGAGTAAGGGCTGTTATTCACAACAGCCACTAATGTGGAGAAGCTGATGGAAGCTTCCTTCTGGGATATGGATGAAACAATATTTCCCACATTCTTCAGGTAAATGCATTCTATCCATGCACCTGTTGGAAACAGCAGAAAATTCCAGAGTATTGCCACGTGTATTATTGTCTACTGATTCAGTCATGTTTACTTCACCTTGTATTTGAAGCATGTGGCTATGTTTTCAATGGAACACCTTGAATCAAATCTATAAGACACTTAATTTCTCACATAAATACAAATTATTGCAACATTTTATGAATGAGCTGGTATAATTTCCTGTCCATAGGTAAAACAATTATTTGTTGTAATCCATTTAAGAAATATCTGATATTAAATCATTACAAAATGATTGTTTAAGTTTTGTTGCTTTGGCTTTCTGTCCATCTTTATAACTAGCAGCTAATTTCAAAGATTGGAAAATGAGAATGACTTTTTGGATGCACCAAAAATAACTATTAAGTAATTATTATCTGTTATACACCAGTACAATAATACATTTTTAAGAATATAAGATATGATTTAAGAAATGGTAGCAATATGAGATATGATTAATTACTATTTTATGCTGGTGTTTTCATGCAATATATTTTGGTAGGTTATACAAAGAGGTGACACAGGGCATTGTACATACCAAAACCAATATTATTTCTTCTGTTCTTGTAAGAGCCAGGATTGGTGAACCTGTAATTATAGAAGGTAAAAAAAGGGGGGAAAATGAAGCTAAGGGACACTTTAAATACTCGTAATAATAAATTAGCCTAGAAATAAATTTGTTTAGAAATGTTTGGATAATATAAACTATCAATACTATTTCTCTTGAGTAATGACTAGCCAAAAAACAATATTGAAAAAATGCTGTTATTCAATTTAAATTTGTAAATTCCAGCCAGAAGGAAAAAAAAATGAAATTATTTTGGGTCATTACCTGAATCAGTGAGACACACCATTCCTCCACTATAGAAGTTATATACTGTAACACTGTATATAAGAATCCATTATATTTTAGGTTTGGGAGAAAAAAAACAGAATCCCATTCTGCTCTTCATTTTCCCTTCTCTTAGCTTAGTATTTTCGTAATACCACAAGTAATGATTTTCAATCACTCCTGACAGTGCCCTTTTATCCATTGTTATGGTTCTAATTTTGAATTTTTAAAAGTTTCATAGACAGATATTTGTACTGAATGAATACTATATAACCTCTATATTGATATTATCAAAATGTCTCTAAGAAAACTATAACTTTTTACAACCTCAGAATGTTGCATTGCACATTATCCTCATGGTTTCATTTTCCCCCTTAATCCTTAAGCAACTCACAGCATGGTTCTTTCAAATTCATATGTAGCATTATAATATTTTGAGCAAACTGCTAATTATTTCTAAAAAGATTATAAAGTTTATTTTTGCCTTACATATTTGAGCAGAGTTATTGTTTGGATCAATATCTGTGATATATAGAACCAGGAGAAATGAAGAATTTCTACAGACAAATAAAAAAATAACTCAA